GAACAAAGAGACGAGGGATGGGCTGTGGTTACAGTCCCCACCCAAACACCACCTGCTCTCCATCAACAGACAACAAAACAATCACAATTCATACTTACTGGAAACACAGAAAATCTTATCAATTTAATTCTGGTGTGACTAAAGAAACCTTCAGATCAATACGCACGCCATGTGTTTAACACATATTTTAAACTTGACTTCAATTACGAGTTGATTTTTTTTGCAACATGCATGAAAGGCTGTGTGTCTTTGAAGGAATCAGTATGCGACTCGAGGGGCCTTTGCTCGTGGCAGCGTGCGCTACAGTTGTGCTTAACCCTGCACTAAGTCCAGCAGCTCGTCTCTGTGGGGCTCTGTCCTGTCGGAGACAAAAGATGGTACCGGGAGGATGATCCCCCCTCTTTGAGGAGGAAATGGTACAAGCCTAGAGATGAAGTTGGAAGAAAAAATATGACATTTAAAAAGATATCAGGGAGATGCTCAGACTCATCAGACAAAGAGAAAATTAGTTAAGGGGTATGAGTAATGGTGATGCCTGTTGCCATGGTGATTGGGGTCAATGAATGGTTGCCATGGAGCCCACCACTTGCTATTCTGGGAAGGGGAATTTTCACCTGTGTGGATGTCGTGAGTGTGTGTGTGTGTGTGTGTGTGTGTGTGTGTGTGTGTGTGTGTGTGTGTGTGTGTGGAGGATGACAAAAGTGTTTATTCTGTTTTAACTGAGACAGTCCAACCACTCTTTATGTTCAATGCAACAAAACAAAAAGAAGTTTAAGGCAGATTGGTTGTACATAGTACATAAATTAAATAGTTGAATCCATTATTACTAATACCAACATAGAGTGTGACAAATCTCCAACAGTTTTCTCAATCCTACATGTGAGTAGCATATTCGACTCAAAATACTGCAGGCATCCAGGACAGGACTGTGTGTTTTTTCTAAATGATTAAATTCTCTGTCAAATGTCTTTTATTTGTGACGACACTGCTGTTCATGTAGACGTTGTTTTGTGGTCATGCCATAACTAATAGGGACTAGCAGATACATATTCATGTCAGATTCTGTGACAGCTGATGAATTTGCATGTATTTATGTTTCACCACAGTCGGCTGACACGTCTGGTCCCACATGATGGCTAAGGGTGTACATGAGGCAACCTGAAGCTGTTACTGCAGCAGGATCCTTCAGCTTGTTCTCCACGACACATTGGTCTGCATGAACACACGTGGATCTAACTATGATCTTGCATGATTTACAGTTTTTTTCTGCGCTTTCTAAGAAGTTTTTATCAACAATGTTATGTATTTAGTAGGTTTCTGGATCAGTGTGCAATTGTGTGTGTAATTCCTGTATTTCCTACTTTCAATTGGTCTCTGTTGGGGTGTTTTTGTTCATCATGTGAGAGTGGATTTACTTTCAACCTGGACTCGGTTGGAAGCAAGGTCTCATGCTGTCACACTGAGTCAGAGTGAAAATACTTCTGTTGAGGATGTAATTATTCATCAGCATTTATATAGTGTGTGTGTGTGTGTGTGTGTGTGCGTGTGTGTGTGTGCGTGTTTTAAGTCAGTGATTCAGATCAGGAAGCAGACTGGGTTGACTTTGAACTGACTCTAATCCAGAATGATCTGACTTGATGTGATGCTGCATTTCTGGCAAAGATTTAATATTTTTTCTGTGGATTTTGTTTTCCATTTTTTTAATGATGCTCTAAATTGTTTTGCACACACTGTGTAATGTAATGCACTGCTGCATTTTGGGAATTTAGGCCACTGGATTTTGGTAACTTGCATTTCCTCCGTCCTTGAAGTGATGCTGATGTGAACGTAATGCTGCGTGACACATGGAGTCTTACAAACGTGTGTGTGTGTGTGCGCGTGCGCACGTGTATGCACCAATGCCACTGAGGACAAGAATTAGCTCACTGCATCCATGCGGACTGTTGATGGGAGTTCATTTGTAGCTGTTGCACGTGCGGCTCCCCTCCCCCCTGGTGATGTCAGATGCCCAACTGTGTACAGTATACCAACGACATTGAGTGGCCTGCACCATCATCGTTATTATCTTCATTATTTGCCCATCTGGTTTGAGGTGTTACAATCTTTAAACACAGAAACCAAATATCACTGGTACACAGTTTTTCAGCAATTACCTATAATCCTGTGTTTTACTCCATTTCAATTTAATCCCGTAACTCCACAAAACACTCATTTAGAAAACGGATTAGGGCAAAGATGCAGCACACAAAAAAGTAAATGAGGACAAGCATGCACCAAATCACTCAAACCCCAACATTTCTGGTTATGTTTGAACTAGCATCTCACTGGGCTGCAAACTGTTAGAAATAAGTTGGAGACACAAATATGCAGATATTCCCTTGGATATATGTACATAGGATATGGATGTCGGCCTAAAAATGTCATATCGGTGCATCGCTTGAATTGACCGATATCAGTCCGATATGATATCAGCCCAAATCATACATACTTTTACCTATTTCGTAGTGTGGAATGAATGAAATACTAGATCAACTCAGAGAACAAAAGCCAGAAACATTAAGTATTAAAAACAACCTATTTTTTTTTTATTAACCATCAGTTGCATAAATGTGAACCTTAAACAAAATGTATAACAAATGAATAAATGAATGAAAAGACCCAGAAAAATATTGCAAGTAAATAAAATAAATAAGAAAAAAGATATCTTTTTAAAGTGCAAAATATTCAAGGTCACTTTGGTTATGTTTTTACTGTCTGCAAATGGTAGGAACTGCTGAGGGCAGGGATATATAAAAATAAACACACACAATATTGTGCATTGACCAACTGCTACAAGTTCTGTATCCAAAGTTTCAAGTTCACACACGGCGAGAACCCTCATGCAGGGTTTTGTGATGCTGCTTTAAATGTGCAATGAGGTTGGACGTACTAAACTTCCCCAATTCAGTTCCAGCACGGGGAAACCTGTGCATGGCAAGTGTTGCACTGAGCCACTCTGTCTTTTTCAGACTTTAATACAAAAAATTGCTCTCGTTACTTGCTGCTTCACTAGCATGCACTAATGTGATCACTTGTGCTTTACTTGCTAGATCTGGGTGCTACTGGATAGAATTGTTGGAATGGAATTTAAAGCGGAACGGACTGCTTATATCGGAGTTTTATGTTGGGCCGATATCGGACCTATTTTCTATATCAATATTGGAATGAGACATCCCTACTCTGAAGAGCTAAACAGTTGCAGGCCAGTGTGACACAGACTATAAATCCAATTCCACTGCATAAAACTCAAGAAACGGTCACTTGTGCTGCTTACATAGAATACTTTGATCAACAGAGTACTGTGGCTGCCTGGGTGGGGTGTTACCCTCATCATCAGCTGACAGTCAGTGTTTATTGGCAGCATGTGCTGCCCGACACGCCGCAGACTCTTGTAACGAGCTTATCCTGTAGCTTTAACAGCTGTTTGACTCTGATGGTGTTTGGGGTCAGAGTGACTGAACGGGAAATGGGATGCTGTTGTATTCCACACAAACCTCGGAGGTGAAGCGTGCTTTTGTATAAATAAACTCACTTCTATCAAAAAAGCACGATAATAATGAAATCACCCAGACCGTGACGTGTGCTCGGCTTGAGAGAGGAGAGACAAGGGTGGGAAAACTGCATCTCCTCTTTGCGGCCCAAAAGGCATGATGGGAATGTTGCTCTTCTGAGCAGGTGAAAACAGATTTCTGCTAACATCACCCCCTCCCCCCCTCGCTGAGTGAAACGCGACACAGGCAGCGGTACGAGCTTTGGAAAATAAGCCAGCCCAGTAGGTGCTGTTGATTATATTGTTTTCCAGCTCTATGATGTGTGCATTCAGCTGTTAGGGTGGGGCTGGGTTGTGTGAGATCACCCTGAGGTTTTATGGAGGGACGTGTTGTAACAGATTCAGAGGCAGGATGCCGAATTTCATGTTGCAGACAAAAAGACAAACAATTTGATTTAATAAGACCTTTTGAACAACCTCCGTTTCCATAACAATGCCTGTATGGTCAGGGATGAGTGTGTATATCTGTGTTAGCTAATGGAAGAGCAGACCCTCGAGGGTGAAGGCGTGGTTTAGGCCGATCACCCACCCACACCGCCCCAACGCCGAAGGCCATCCTGCCTCATTATACCCAAACTGAAACATTTAGCCTGTTTTTCTGCACGGTGCTGCTGATTACCCTTCATATGGTGTTGCTGCCTGTTTCAGCAGTCCAGCTAATAGAGCCTGAAGTGCAGGTCCGTGCCTCTGCATGATGTCATTCATTGATTTTACCGCTCTGCTGTGGCCACTAATCTCTCAGAGCGATGCTCCTGTCTAACTAACCATCAGGATTAATGTCCGAACCTGAGAGACGCTGATGTTCTCTGACTGATCGCAGCCTAATTTGCAGACGTTTGAAACACAGACATCTTTAAAGAGGAGTTGGCTCTTGAATACAATAAAAACTTCATAATTTAGCTGTTTCGAATGTTTTTGCCTGTCCATGTGTGTGTGTTTGATGGACCACTGAATAGATATTAATGAAACTGTCAGAAAGTAATTATTGGATATTCACCTACAACTGATTCACTTTTTGGGGACAGTTCTGTCGTAGCCAACTGATGTTGGCAAAGATTTGACTAAAAAGACTGTCCATCATTTTTCTAAATAAGATATTTGTATAAAATTGCTGGGTGAAGGTGTGGAGTGAAATGCATTTACTCCAGAAGTGTTAGACCTGTAATTAGTGATGTATTTATGTCTTTTTTACTTTGTTCGACTGTTGTTTCTGCTCCGAGACATTCATACTAAGCCTGTCTGTGACGTTCCTGAGTAATGTCTGATGTACTAATCCCAAGAATTTTTCCCCAGCAAGGCGCTGATTCTTGCTCTGACTAGTGTCTCTAAGATTAACATGTGACTTTTTTCTTAGCAATGTCATTAAAAAAACAGATTTAATGAACTGTGTTGCTTTGTGTTCTCCATGCAGGGCTGGAATCGACGATGTGGAGACAGATGTGGTGGAAATTGAGGCAAAGCTTGACAAGGTATGAACTGAAAAGAGTCGCAGGGGGATTCGTGTGTCTCTTTATGTCTTTTACTAAAAGGGAATTTAAACAGAAACGTAGTCAAAGGGACAACACTGATTAATAAGGAAGGCTTGGTGTTCTGTAGCATGAACACTCAACATGATGCAGCCTGTAATCACATGAAGAGGTGGTTCCTGCAGGTTTTAGTGTTTATGAAATATGGAATTGGTAGGGAAACATTCCATTTTTAGGAGTTTGTCTAATTCAGTGAATCCCAAACCTTCATCAGTCAGACAGACCTAAATAACAGCAGAGTCTTGTGTTCTTGTTGTTAACAACTTTATTAAATGCCTGCACAATGACAGTTCAAACACTATTGGCATTATATTTATTTTTAATAACTACTCTAGAGTAAAAAGCCATCAGCAATCATTTTAAAACAGAAGTTGTTTTACGAGGTTGTCTGAAGACCCTCTTTTGGTGTTTAGTGACCCTCACAGGGGTCTCCACCTCCATTTTGGGAACCACTAATCTAGTCCGAAGAACATTTCTCTGGTTTTTCTTTGAAACATTAAAGGTGGGGTAGGCGATGTTTTCTTGAGCTTTTTCTTTTTGCCATTTTGCTTGAAATGCTCTTCCAATGGCTACCAACTAATTAAATGTTGTGCCAAGATGTATGTTAGGAATTACGACAGAAAAGGAGCCAACGATAGGGCGAAAATGTAAGTCAACGTTACGCTCTTATGGTCGTTTGACAGTCTTTGTTGCATGGTGTTTCACCGTTTTCTGTGACCGTGAGAATATGTCTGAAGAAAACGGTTGGCCCTATAAATTGTTATTATTTGAAATGAAGCTTGCTCGATCAGCTTTTTCCTGCGGGAGGGTGTTGACTGCACCTTTTTTTGCAAAACAACGTCATGTTCTCAAACTGATAGACTGAAAAGTGTGTGTGACGTTGGTTAGTTGTAGTTGTGTCTTTAGGTCATAAAGTCACCTTGAATGAAAGAATAGCAGGTCCAGGGACTGAGTTGAGATTATATCTCCTTATGCTGCAGATGAGCCAGTGTTGCTGCTGTTAGGAGGAGACCACTCTAGATAATCAAATTAAATCTGTCAAGGGTAACATGTGTTTTCTTGATTTAGTTGCAGCATTTCTTTGCTTTCATCATATAATTGTTTTTAGCTAACAGCTGGAGGCTTTAACCCACCTGAGCACCCCTGAAAGGTGGAAAAGGTCAGAGGGGAGAGGTGTGAAAGGCTTTCATCGATCCTGTCGCTTTGCACCAACACTATATGGTCAGACCGCTTTTAGTGGAGGACTTTAACACGATTTAGAACAGCTGTGCAGCTCTGTGACGACAAAACCGTTCTTGCTTCCACTGCATTGCCTCAGTAGTTACTTAAAAATAAGAGTCATCATAAAACCACTTGTTTATTTTTTTTATCTCTTATTTTCCACTCTGAACCAGAGCACCTCACTTCCCAGCTGAAGATCCTGTGAGTGTTCTGGTCATGTAGCTCTGCAGGGCTTGTCATGTGGTACCAGATGTGACATCTTGACCTCCGGTAGAACCTTGTTGCTGTTCCAGCTCACTTAATAACAAACACCAACTCACAGCGTGACCTGCACAGACACTGTGGGCTCGGTACAGCACACAATATCAGATCAGATTCACACATAAAACCCGCCTCCGAGGGGCATTTAATGAAACGTGTTAGCCATTCATATGTGAACATGATGCTGTTTAGAAGAGGAGCCTTTTACACACCGGCGTGCCTGATTTACAGCGAATCTCACAAAGTCGTTCTGCACACTCGCTGCCATCCTCCCAGGAAACCACACTCGCACAGCGACAACCATGGGAACTCCTGCACCAAATGAGATAATTAAAAGCTTTACTGCACTCTCTCTTTAGCAGACTGCCTCCCACTACCACTCGCTTCCTCCTCCTTCTCCATTCACCAACACACTCTCACACCCACACGCTCTGATTCTGTTTTACACACAGCTGCGTCAGTGCGAGGGTAATGACAGTGTACATCTATAGCTTATCATATTGCCCCTGAAGTAGGAACGTGTAGCGGTTACCACCTCGTGTGGCGCTCCACACGTTACTGTGAGCTGTCTACGCCTGCCTCTATACATTTACCATTAACATTTTACTTTTGTGGCTTTGTGGGAATCCTATCATTCAGTTCTGTTGCTGCAATTAATTACAATGTTCTATTTTTATGTAACAGACTAAATTCTTAGTGTCAAGTCTCGCCTCTAAGCTGTAGTTTTATGCTAAATGTATAAATAAATATACCTTACATGTTTTTCTTTGTTATTTAAACTTATGGGCCACGTTAGGAGGATCCACCACTTTTGGCTTTTGTTTTGACAAATGTATTTTATAAAGGATTCATAATTAATTATACAGATAAGGAGCATATGAGTACAGTGATCCCTCGTTTATCGTGGTAGATGCGTTCCAGACCTGGCCGCGATAGGTGAAAATCCATGAAGTAGGGACACCATATTTACAGTATTTATTTATTATTCAGTATTCAGACTTTTAAAACCCTCCCTTTACATAGAAAAAATTTTTACTTGTTTTTTTTATAGTTTTATTACAAAAAGTGCATTTTATGATGAAATTGATGAAAAAAACAGGAATTTCTTGATATTTCGCATAGAAAAATACCGCGAATTGGTGAAAAATACCGCGAATCGGCGAATTTCCCTTGAATAAGGCTCCAAAAAAAATCCGCAAAGTCGTGAATCCGCGATAAACGAATCACGAAGTAGCGAGGGATCACTGTATGCCCGTTTAGTCAAGAGGTTACAGATCTGAGAACAGTATCAGCTCGGGTTTGTAATCATGTTTATTAACATGAACATCTAATAATTTGTGTATAATTGCAGTAAACAAGGTGTGTCCCTCTCTGGTCCTTCATTCTCAAGCATGTTTTGGCTGTTTTGCTGCTTCAACACACCTGATTCAATCATTGAATTACTTGTTTCAAAAGCCATCAAGCTCAGCAGAAGTATGTTAATCACCCCCCAGTTGAAATCCGGTGTGATGAAGCAGAGAAACCTCTAAAACTTGCTGGATAGGGGTCCTCAGTGTCCTCTAGATTTCTCTGCAAAGCAGCAAAACTACTTTAAATAAGGTTTCCTTACTTGTGGTGCTTTCTGCTTTGCCACTTTCATCAAATGTGTGTGACTTTTAAAGTGATACTTGAGAATTTTATTATTTTTTTATGTTTATTTATTTGGCAGACGCTTTTATCCAAAGCGACTTACAATTTATAACCTATAGGACATGTTGTGATCTGTGGGGGAAACCGGAGTACCCGGAGGAAACCCACTCATGCATAAGGAGAACACGCAACTCCACGCAGAAAGGCCGCAGCCGAGTTTCGAACCTGCAACCTTCGTGCTGCGAGGCAACAGTGCTAACCACTGCACCACCATGCAGCCCTTGAGGTTGTGTGCAGAACGTTTGAGTCCCTGTTGTGTCAGCAGACTCAGAAGAGGGCCTGTTAGTAAATACAGACACGTGAAACAGATTTCAGATGTAATTCAGTTTGAGAACAAAGAAACAACAGATCACTGTTAGGATTCATTAAAGTAGGACAAATTATTCATTTAAGAATCGGTCATGTTAAAGGAGGCCTGTTATGACTTTTTTCAGTTATAACTATTTAAACCAAGTAGGGCACTCCACGTGGCAAAGGTGAAGTGACAAGAACTGCAGTTCACCCCTCATCCACTAGGGGCTGGCTCTAGAAAGAAGCAAGTTCCCACCGACTCCCATGTAAAAAATGTCAACTTCAAAGCAGAAATAAACATGTTTACAGTTTGGTTCTAAAAACCTCTTTAGGTTCCAATAGGTCAAGTTTACCATCATAACAGCTCCGAAAGGGGAGAGTTTTTGTGTAATTCATCCGTTTAAATGTAATCAAAGCTTGAAATTATGAATACTTAGGGGCGTGTCCTTGACAGGTGTCCGATGAGGTAATAGCAGTTAGCCCTCCTGCTTGCATCTGCAGAGATGCGGTTGTTGTACCAATCTGTCGTGGTGACGAGAGAACTGAGCTGGAAGGCAAAGTTCTTGATTTACCGCTTGATCTGCGTTCCAACCCTCGCCTATGGTCACGAGCTTTGGGTAGTGACCGAAAGATCGCAGGTACAAGCGGCCAAAATGAGTTTTCTTTGCAGAGTGGTTGGGCTCTCCGTTAGAGATAGGGTGAGAGGCTCGGTCAACTGGGAGGAGCTCGGACTAGACCCGCTGCTCCTCCACATCGAGAGGAGCCAGTTGTAGTGGCATCTGGTAAGGATGCCTCCTGGACGCCTCCCTGGTGAGGTTTTCCAGGCATGTCCAATAGGGAGAAGAACTAAAAGAAGACCCAGGACACACTGGAGGGACTATGTTTCTCGGCTTAGGATTCCCCCAGAACATCTGCCGACATGACACAAAACAGATACAGCTTCCTTCTCAGAAAAAGCTTGCTGGCTGATTTTGCTCTGTAATGTCAGAAATTTGCATCCCGAACCAAGCCACACCAAACCGCTTAGCAAAAATTTGGCAAAAGCAGTCTGCCATCATAATCTTTCAGATTTTTAGAAACTTCTCATTTTAGTTTTAGACTTATAACACAGATGGACATTTTTTTTCACATTAGAAGTTTTTATAGAGGCAGTAGAGACCCACATGGCAGCACAAATGGATGCAAAAAGTCAGATTTGCATAATAGATCACCATTAACCCCCCTGACAAAAAAACGCAGTATGTCGAAACAAGGTTTAAGAAAATAGCACCTAAATATGACACTAAACACCTAATTTAGTGTCATATTTAGGTGCTTCTAACTTTAATTTTCTTCATCTTCCCATTAGTAAAGTCTGTTCTGGTCTTCAAACACAAATTGGGATTATTCATAATTCAAGTGGTCTTCTTCCAAGCCTTGTTAGATGGACTCATCAGTACAGCTATTATTATCCCTTGTTGTGTAAAACGTGACTCTTTAAATAGACAGTCCTGTTGCAAATTTAAAATGATGACTTTTATATTTTGTTTTGTGCTTCCTGTTAGTTGGTGAAGCTGTGCAGTGGGATGATAGAGGCTGGCAGGACCTACGTCAGCGCCAACAGGCTCTTTGTAAATGGCATCAAAGACTTGTCCCATCAGTGCAAGAAAGAGGAGATGATATCGGTGAGTAGAAGCATTTCAGCGTCGTCTTCTGGACAAAGAAAACACCTTTGCACATTAATTATAACAGTAAAGTTGTATAAACAGAAAGGGTGGGTATTAGCAAGAATCTGGAGATATGACATTACGATGGAGCGGAGACGATACATTAGGTATTGCAATGCTAAAAGACTTTTAAAGTTGTCTCACTCATGATGCAGATCTACTATATTTTAAAATTCTTATCATGTGTAAAGGAAGTGAATATACCGTAAACGTGCATGTGTGTGTGTGTTTGTGTGTGTTGGAAATGTTGCAGGAATGCCTTGAAAAGTGTGGCGAGAGCCTTCAGGAGATTGTCAACTACCAAACGGTAGGACACACGCACACGCACACACACACACACACACACACACACACGCACACACACACACACACACACACACACACACACACACACACACACACACACACACACACACACACACACACACACAGAGCTTTAGTAACAAGCAACATGCAGTGCTCAAAACTGCTCTCCTCTGTCTTCCATACTGTGGCTGCAGCCCAGTGAGACACTGTTTTTAGAACCAAAAACTTTGCATGACCAGCGTCTCAAAATATCTGTATACCATCTCAAACACATCTCTGGTTAGTTCCACCAATCAGAAAAAGTGTGAGACACCAAACTGGGAATTAAATGAGGGAAATTTGTGAATAAATTGAGACACAATTAACACACTTTAACGAACGAAATTGCAACAACAATATCTGAACGCACAACTAATCCAGTTTGTTTGTAATGATTTCATTTTCCTATTTTGACCTGGTCACAATTACAAATCAAGTCATAAAGGTAAAGTGCACGTCTTGCATTAACCCTGTGGAACATCTGCAGCAGCCTTCACATGCTGACATGGTGATGTAGAACATCACCGTCGTGTGACGAGACTTATCTTGTAGCAAAATGGGAATCTCTCCATGTAGACGATAGAATACTAAAGAACATGTAGTTATTTAACCGGAGTTTCTACCACTCTGAACTAAAATAACTTCTACAGGCGGTCATGTGATCAGGTTGAAACATCAGGACTTCAGGTGACAGAGCTGAAATAAAACAACTAACTTCTTTGAGTGAGACTTTGACCTACAGCACAACCTATCATCACCAGATTTAAATGTAAATCAGAATAAAAAAATCAAATTTGCTTTGTAATTCCTCCTGAAAAAGTTTTCAGTAGTTAATTTGGTTCAAATTAGTTATTTTTGTGTCATTTAGCCACGACTACGTGTGCTCTAAACATTTACTATTTCAAATGCAGCATAAATGACATTTATTTAACAGCTTTAAAGCACATGAAAACAGCCATGTTTACTCAGAAGACACCCTCCAGCTGTGTTTGTAGAGCAGTAGGTCGCATGAACAGTCAATGTAATAAAACTCCTGATCCTCCTTTATTTCACAGTAATCCATCTTGTTGTTTTCCTGGTATTTTTTTATTATTCATATCTCCTCTTCTCTGTCTTTTTAAGCCTGTTTAAGCCGGACTTTTTCCAATTCAAAGAGCTTGAATCAGCTGCATCAGTCTGATGGAATCTTCTTTTGTCTGATAAAGTTCACCGACAGTTCAGCTGTACTCTCATCTGCTGGTTTCTGGATAGTTGTGTCCTTCTTCTGTTGTTGAAGGTGTCCCTGTCCTCCACTCAGAACACCTCATCCTCACACACACACACACTAGGGGTTGCATGACTTAATTTTTTTAAAGTCGACAGTCAAGTAATGAAAATCGAGTCGACTTCGACTAGTCGTTGATGACGTCATACACCTGAAGCGGGGGGGGGGGGGGGGGGTGTCGGTAGGTTCACTGGAGTTTTGGACAATTAAAATTGTGCCCACATTTTCTAAGTTAACACATCTCTTTTAATAACGGTACTTTCTGCATCCTACTTCAGCCCTCTCCCACCTCCCCCTGTGCAGCAGCCGCAAACTCACTGATGCGCCTGCAGCCTTTCCTGCTGTTCTAAACATTAAAATAATTATTTCATTTTCTGTTCCTCACTTCTGATTACCTTCAATGGTGTCTGTTTGTTGCAACCACCAGGTACAAAAACTAAATTGTTTTTATTTGACTATTTTTCTGTCCTGTCTGTTTATTATCTTCCTGCATCTCCTCTCAATCCTAAAGAAAAACTGCTACCTGGGTTCATATATATTCACCTTATAAGTTACCTTTGAACTGCAGTTCTAAGATCTACTGACCAGAAAACAGCGGAGTGCCGCTGCTCGCCGGCCGACTACAACGGGACCGTTTTTGCTGCGGAGTTCATGCCGGAGCGGAGCGGAGATAGTGGAATTTTGGGGGTGCGTCACCGGAGAACAAAACAACAGCGAAACGCATCAGGCACAAATAACAGACAACATGAAAGGAAATGAGCCGACATGAACAATCACGTGTTTTATTTGTTTTTGAGGTGGTGACACCTGATTTGGCGGTGATCAGGACGCAGATGTCTGGAGCGCATCAACGATCAGAGCTTTGCATGTGCAAACTGGTTAAGAAAGGATGGGGGTGAGGGGAAGGTAAAATTGCAAGAGGGAAAAGGTCACAGTTTGGTTAAATGTCCGTTTTACCGCCGGTGTCGACGCTCTGGCACAGCACGTTGCCTCCGCCTCCCGACGCAGGGGCTCATCACCTGCTGTCTTTTCTGAGGACTGCATCTTGTCAGTCATTATCACGTGACAGCGACTAGTCGATGACAGGTATAAAAAGTCACTACAGAGCCGTGAAGTCGACTAGTCGACTAGTTCATACAACCCCTAACACACACACACACACACACACACATCAAGGAGAATCTCCCAGTAACTTTGGCTTAGTCGGGGGTGTCTCAAGACAACGGCCAGTATCTTCAAGTTAAATGTTCTCATTGGCCACAACATTTGATTTTTATTTAATTTAAATTGAACAATAGTCATTTGTCTTAGATTTGTAGATATTTGAACATAATAATGTTTAAAAACTGTGAATCTACACCTGCAACCTGCTGGAGACGTAGATCCAGAAAATCCTTGAAATGTATTTGAGAGCTGCATGCTGCCTGTTGAACGTGAGGTCTAGCCAATCAGAAAGCGAGGTGACGGAAGAGTGCAGCACGCCTTGTTTTTGTTTATTTCAAATTCACATTTGGTCTCGCGAGATTTCCTGTCTGAGCAGGAAACATCTGTGTGTGTGAAAGCAGCTCATGTGCAGTGTGTGTTGCTGCACACTACACACTGAATGACCAAAGCTGGTATGATTCTTATTGCCTTGTGTGTGATAGGTCTGTAAAACTCCTGCTGTGTGAATCGGGCTTCAGCAGAGTAACACTTTAATCCACCTTAAATGTAAAAGCTTGAGGAATTGATGGTGACATGACACAAAAGTTATAGTTGGATTTTGAAAAGGCTGGTAGAATTGATAAAACTGTTCTTTCTGAAATTTAAAAAAACAGATTTTTTAATTGCTCTATTTGTTGCTAGATTTTAGTCGCTCACTTTTGATAATTAATTAATTTAAACCCCCAAGGATTTTGTTATCGTTTAATCTTATACGCTTTATAAACTTATGATCTTAGTATTGAAATAACTAAGTAACTAAAGCACCCCGATAGCATAAAAATAACTTATTTCATATAAATTATTCTGTTGCTAATGATGCATCTAAAACAGATTTTATTCTTTTATTGGTGAATATTTTTAATTTATGTTAAGAGTTTTTTTTTTTTTTTGTAAAACCAGAAAAGGTCATTTTTAACATTCAGACACTTTTTTAAATAACAAAAACAGATAAAAAGATGTCCTCTTCAGGGTGAGCTCCTGAAAAAGCGGATGGGTTCCTGACCTCTGAAAGTTTTCATTACTATATATTTGAAGTGACGATAGATGGAATGTGTGCATTTAGGAAGAAAGCGTAGCCTTACTTTCCTTTTTAACAGTTCTACTCTGAAGTCATGCTACCTTTCTGGATTCGTATGACCTCTGACCTCAGACAAGATGCCTGTGAGCCAAGACCCGATTCCCTGATGCCACGGGGCCATGCGGGGTCATTTTGTGGATGGAGGCTTACGGGACTAAGCCACTAATCTGGAATTCGTATGTAAAGGATAAACGGTTTTTCTCTAAAGGGTTTAATCCACCGGCTGACAAAATTAAAGCTTGAAAATCGATTTTTGTGTGTTATGATGGAATCCTCTTTTTTAGGTGCATTTCTGTTTGTGTGTGAGGATGAGTATTTAGACTTTTAGACATAGAGGCAACGATGCCTTAGTGTAGACACAGAGGAGAGGTCCTCACACAGCACAGGAAACAGAGGGAAAGGAAAGAGAGAGAAGTGGAGATCCCACGGCTAACCGGAAGAGATCCTGTGAGGCCTGAAGTCTGTTGAAGCAGCAGCAGCTGTGTGTGTGTGTGTGTGTGTGTGTGTGTGTGTGTGTGTGTGTGTGTGTGTGTGTGTGTGTGTGTGTCATCCTATCTCCTTCCTCCACCATTAGTTATTACCTGAAAGGGTTGTGGGGCCCTCTTGTGGTGAGATAAATCTACTACAGATTAGCAGACTGATTTATTACAATACAGGCCATGTGGTGGTCACCTCAGACATCAAATAAAAGAATTTAAAAGAATGCCCGATTTTAGCTAACAGTCCAAGCTGAAGAAGTCTGGCGCTCACTGATTTGATGCTTTTGTTTTTGTCTGTTTTGTTTGTTTCGACAGATTTTGTTTGACCAGGCTCAGAGGTCGATCAAACAGCAGCTTCACACGTTCATTAAAGAGTGAGTATCTCCTCCTGCTGTGTGTTTAGGGTTTCTACGAGGGTGAAATCAATGTCATGGGACTGTAGAGCAGGGATCACCAAATACCTGGTCACAGACAGTCCTCGATTCCTTGGTACGTAGCTGCAAAGAATAGAAACAAACCTATGCATTGTCTATACATCAATATTTAATACACACTGGTCTGTGGGGTGTTTATTTTTGAAATTGTTCTTTATTACATTGTAGTAGAAATAAATTTTATTATTATATTTGTAATAATTAACTTTATTAACACTGCTCTGCATTTGAGGAACATCATTAGCATCGTCTAACATTTCTCTGGTTTTACACTCTCATAAGTGCTTAACAATGCACAAAAATATGAAAAATACAATTTCAGATTTATTGATTGCCCTTCAGCAGCATGCTAGAGACTTAGCAGAAAGAAATCCATCCCTCAGTCTCAATGATCCCCTAAAGTTAATAACAAACATACTTTGCAACATTTTCATATATTTAAATAATTTTCCTGAGCCAGTATGTGCTAAAATGATCCTTTACAGAGTTAATGAAAGACCACCCAGCACCTATCGCCCCCTGTGGCCAGAATATTCCACTTGCAATTTTAGAGTGGCCGGTCCGCTCTGTTGGGACTTAGAAAAAAATAGAGCAGACATACCTGGTGCTGCAGTCTGCTTCCATCAGGTTTCCTGCATGTTTTAGATCATGAACACAGCTGATGTATTCAGTTTAGTGACAAATCCCTCCTGTTGACATTAATGAAGGCTGGGGAGACGTTTCAGCTGTTAGATTAAGGTCTGATAAGGATGAACGCATAGCGAGGAGATGGGTTTTGCTTTCAGTTCTACTATCGGACACTAGGTGGTTCTAAAAGCAAGCCAAAACTGCCTAGTCTCCCTTTAAATCTTTCACGAAGGGCCTAGTACAGCTTAAAGAGACAATGTGTAGTTTTTACCATTAATCTCTGCAAATTTCCATTAAAACGTTGTTCAAAATGAAAGAATTGATGCCCAGTTGTTGAAAAATATTGGTGGCTTCATAACATCTATCCATAAAAATTGGGTCTAAAATACATGGGAGCAGGTCTAAGTCTCTGGGCGATGCCATATTAGATACTATGTTACTTTCTACGGGAGCCTGTAAGGCCAAATGCATTTATGTTTATGTATTTAGCAGACGCTTTTGTCCAAAGCGACTTACAAGTGATAATCGGCATGTTGCCCTTGAGGCTAACAACAACAATAACAACAACAGCTTGACATCAATCATGGAGAGGAGGGAACAAGGAGTGGACAGTAGAGAGGGGGGATGGGTGCAGGGAGGGTGCTAGTTTAGAAGATGCTCTCTGAAGAGCAGGGTCTTCAGGAGTTTCTTGAAAATTGAAAAGGAAGCCCCTGTTCTGGTAGTGTTTGGAAGATCATTCCACATTTGTGGAATGATGCATGAGAAGAGTCTGGATTGTCCTGAGCGTGGTGTAGGCACTGCTAGCCGACGATCCTGTGATGACCAGAGCGGCCGGGCCGAGACGTAAGCCTTTACAAGAGGATTCAGGTAGATGGGAGCCGTACCATCTCGGACTTTGTATGCATTTACTGATTTGGAACATGCAGTTACAAAACTTTCACCTTTCATAAATGTTGTTGTTTTACACATTTACCTTTGTCATTTTACTGGAGGTTACACTCCCAGGGATTTTTGACCCTATTGGCCTTCTGGTGGTATGGTCTTACTTGAAAACAAAAATACCGCTTGTTTGCAAATGATTTAGGTATGTACTGCCCCCTATTGTCCGGGAAAATACACAGTCACTTTAAGTGTCAGAGGTCATGAGAAACAGCTTTCTCCTGGACTCCTGATCTGTTGCCTGGGCTTTGAGGCTATTTGGTCCTCTGTCTGAAGATTAGGGGGTGTAAGGAGATCCATCATTATCTATTTTTCCTAGTTTTTCAAAGACTTTCTTTGAAAATAAAAGAGTTATATGATCAAATGTATCTAATCTGGACTTGGACGATGTAGTCTGGTGCATATGGAGAGTGTTATGAACATTGTGATGTCAGAAAAGCTTTGCGTTACTGGTGTGTATCGTATTGAATTAATAAAAATAAATCCAGTTGACACAAGACAAGCATGTTTAAACCAAACCGTTTACTGATTTATTGTCCTCTTCTCTTTTCCAACAGGGATGTACGTAAGTTCAAGGACACCAAGAAGCAGTTCGACCGAGTGCGTGAGGACATGGAGCTGGCTCAGGTGAAGAACGCACAAGCACCCAGGAACAAGGTGCACGAGGCAGAGGAGGCTGCGCAGGCCCTCATCCTGAGCCGCAAAGCCTTCAGGCATCTGGCCTTGGACTACGTGCTGCAGGTGAGACAGGTTGTGGTTCCTGTATTGACCAGCAGGTGGTAGCAACACACAACATCTCAGTTTATGGGCCTGTTTTTAGTCTGAGAATCTGTGTTAATCTCAAACATGCAACCTGTTTTCCCTCTTTGTTTATGGCAGATTAACGTCCTGCAGGCCAAGAAGAAGTTTGAAATCCTCGATGCGGTAAGTCGCTCTGGATCATCTCGATCTACGCATGGACAGTTGCAGATGTGTTCATATCTTGATTGTGAGGACCGTTTGAACTCTGTCTTTTTCTCTCCCCCTTCCTCCTGCAGATGCTCTCCTTCATGCGAGCCCAGTATACTTTATTTCAGCAAGGCTTTCACATCTTAGATGAGATTGACCCTTATATGAAAAAACTGGCTGAACAGGTAACAGGAAACTACACAAACATGTCTTTACTGTGTTATTAATAAAACTCCTAGATCTGAAGTGCTTTTCATCTTTTTTTGCACATTTTGACTGACTTGTCCTGCTCGGCGTTGTGTTTTTGTGCTCTGTGCAGCTGGACCAGCTGGTCATTGACTCTGCCATGGAGAAGAGGGAGATGGAGCACAAACATGCTCTCATCCAGCAAAGAGTGAGACAGCAACACAACTCTCACCTTCCAGCCTGCACTGTCACAACAACACACATCTAAGGGAACTAACCAAGCGTCACACGACTTGTGTGTCACCTCTTGTACTTTTTGCTTTCTGCTGTCTTTATCTTCAGTATGTCACAATTAGTGACAACTGGTGAAAAAAATTCGGGGGGGGGGGGGGGGGGAGGGTCCATGTGAAAAAAATTCCTGTGTTATTTCATTATGAATTTAAAAATGAACAGTTGAAAAATTACTATAATTCCAAAACAGCTATTAATTTCTTTTCTCCAAATAAACAATATTAGAGAAAGTTTTTTTTTTTTTTTCAAATTTACAGATAAAGTAGAGTATAATTGTCATAATACTCAAATAAATACACAAGCCTATTGTGTGAGTATTTAAGAGCAACTTCAATCAATCGTGTGTCTCAATCATCTCCTCAAAGCACAATAGTCGTCTTGGTCAGCAGGTGGCAGTCACACAACATATAAATGGAATTAGATCAGCTGTTTTAACAATATGTTTCCATAAAATGAGAACAAATAAAAACAGTTTACAGCAAGACCTGTGATTTCTGCTCAACAGTGAATGTGTGTGAATGAGGAATTGGCACAGAGAGTGAAAATGAGATACAATATCTTCTAGCATGCTAGGTAGCTGTATCGGGCGCTGCCCAACAGTGCCCTAGAGGCATTAAATTCATGGCTGCTGATTGGCCAAAAATTCTCCAGTTCTCCCTAGCAACCAACTGTGATTAGCTGTTTAGCTGCAGTTCAGGTGCGCTTTTCTCAGTGCCCAAGAAGCAAAACTAGTCTGCTGGAGGAAATTCACAGCTGGCAAAAATTATGTGTAAATAATTCAGATTGCATCTAGGCACACACAATTAAGCAAATCTCACACATTTATTGTAAATATATGAATATATATTGTAGTTTTACTACTACTACTACGGCTTTTTAGATGTTTTTCTCCCTATTAGTCAGGAAGGTCAGCGACACCTGGACGAGCCACCACTGCTCACAATACATCCAAACCTAACTGTTGCAGTAGGCTGTGGAATAATTCAAAAGATTTGAAAAAATAACTTTATATGAACAGAAAAGTCTGTTTTACCAGTTTCATGAATAATATTTGATTATTTTTGCACTTTTAACATTAATTTCATGGCTATTTTTATTCCCAAACACAGACTTTACTCAGGTCTGTAATAATTATTGGTTTCCAATGTCTTTTAGTTGTTGTTCTGAAATGTTCAAAACTTTTAAAACAAAATTTTTCCATCAATATTTGCTGTTCATTCCTATCTTAATAATCTTTAAATCCGTAAACATTCCATTCTCTTTAAATGTTTCAAAATAAATTGTATCTCAAATTGGCTTCGGATACCATGTTTGCTTTCCACAGAAGCTCTGGTGTATTTTTATCTTGTTTTTAAGACTTGGCATGTCAGGTGTTCTGTTTTTCCTCATTCCAATGTGGCAACAAAGGGCTTCAAAAGTTTAATTCAGTTTTTATTCATGCTACATTTTCATTCAGGTTTTTTTTAAAACTAGGAATCAACAGCTAGAAATGAGCTTTTCTAAGTCAGCCGTTCCTCTTGAGGTCTCCTAGATGATGAAAAGCCTTCAAACTGACCCCTGTTGGCCAACAGTGACATTCATGCACAGATGCACAAAATCATCCATCTGTTAGGAAAGGCTGTGCCAAAAACATCCTTTTTTTCTGCCTGGCTTGGCTGCTCTCACAGATCGATTTAGTTACCCAGTGAAGGCATCCTGCCAGACTCACCAAACAGCGTTGTGCCCTGATGGCCTCACAACAACCTTTCCTCTTTAGTCGAGAGGGGAAACACACACACACACACACACACACACACACACACACACACAAAAGCAGTTAGCATCAGTGTTGTTGCATTTCTTCTTTTTTTCCTGAGAATGATAGATTAACAAAGGATAGTAAACATGTTTAGTTTAATGAGAACTAAATTAACATTCTGATTTATTAAAAACTTTTATTAAACTTGTCATATTCTGTTTGTAAAATAAAAATGTTCCTTGTTTTAATACATCTTTTTTCTTTCTCCTCATGCTTTTGTCTCATGCCCCTCCAGACTCTGATGCAGGTACGTTTATGTTTTAATTTTATAAAATGCTTCCTGTAACAAAACTGGTTTACAGCTCATTTCTGTAAGAGCCAGAATTTCATAACGGTTTCAGGAACAACTTTACAGATTTTGCAACATTGGACACATGATTTCTACTGGCTTGGACATAATGGTTGGCAGGCTGATGATAAGTGGGAGGAGTGGTACCAAACATGCTGATCTCATAAAGAAAATTTCCTTTTTAATCATATAACTCACACAATAATGATTTTCAAAACCATGTTATTTAAATTTTACCTGTGTGCTCTGATGTCAGCAAACACACACACACACACACACACACACACACACACACACACACACACACACACACACACACACACACACACACACACACACACACACACACCAGATGGTGAACTCTGAGGGTTATCTGGTACCTTACAGCTGTTTTCATGTCTGCACAATGATTATAGAGGAGAGGGATGTTCTGAAGCAGGTCAGCGCTTGTTCTTCAGGGTATCAATTTTTGAGTCAAAGACACCATAAAAAGCTGGATATTCTTGTGCGGACCAGGCCCGTTTAGACGTTTGATGATTTCGTCTTGACTGCTTCTTCAAGTCGTCTTTGTTCAGATGCTGAGTTATTGTTTCCAATTTTCCATTTTTGGTTCTTTCTTCAAGTGGATATAAAAAATTATTTATTTATTTGTTACCTCTAAAGTCTTAAAGTGACAATGTGCAGTTTTTACCATTAATCTTTAGAAATATTCCTCAAAATGTTGTTTTATAACATACAACCATAAATATCTGTTCAAAAATACATGGGAGCGAGTCTAAGGCCCTGTCCACACGTAGCCGGGGATCTGCCAAAACGTAGATATTTTTCCACGTTTTGGCCTGTCATCCACACGAAAAAGGAGTTTTTTCACACAAAAACGGATCTTTTTAAAAACTCCGGCCAAAGTGAAAATCTGCGTTTTCTCCGTTTTGGGTGTCTGCGTGTGGACAGACAAAACCGGAGTTTTAAGGTCCGCAACGTCACTTTCCGCAACAAAAAAATGCTGACATCACGTGTGCGACCTGTGTTTACACTAGCCGACAGCATGGATGCCCTCAGAGCTGCGCTCGCTTTATCAATTGTCCAAGCGCTTTTTGCTTGTTTGTTTTTGCAAGAGGAATTACTGCTCCTTGCGGAAGACCACAGACGAAGGACGAGGTTAAGAACGGGGGAAGTACTGCCGCCTACAGGTCTGGCATGTCCTTAACGACGTATTTATCCGGGTACCTGTGGACAGTTTGTTTTTAAAATGAGGTGGTGTGGATGCAAGTTTTTGGAGGGGCGGATATTCGTTTTTTTAAAAAAAACCTGGCTACGTGTGGACTAGGCCTAAGGCTCTGGGTGATGCCATATTAGACGCCATTTTTCCTTCTACGGAAGCCTGTGAGGACAAAACACATTTACTGATTTGTAACAAATGGTTACAAAACTTTCCTCATTCATAAATGTTGTTGCTTTACACTTTTACCTCCTCACTCTTTGCCAGTGATGAAAGGGAGTCTGATGTGCTTGTCATTTTGTGGGAGATTGCACTTCATGGGGTTTTTGACCCTAATGCCCATCTGTTGGTAAGGTCTTACTCGAAAAGTTAAAAGCTATTATAGTGCATGGAAGCAGTGTCCTATTATAATGTCCTTTAATGATTTTTTATATAAAATTTTTTAGTTTCCATTTTCAAATTTATTGTTACAAACCACATTTTTCAGTATTAAAATCTACAGTTTTACAGTTTTTTTATTCAGTGACAAATTATTAGACTTTATTTATAAGCCAGTAATACTGATGGATTTGCAGGATTTCTTAGTTACACACTAAAGCCTCACCATCGAGTTGAGTTTACGTATTTTTATTGTCTCTGAATGCACTGTTGCTAATCAGCATAAAAAAAATCATTAGTTTTTCCTGATCCTTGAACTCACAGTCTCTTAGACCAATTTCCTGCCAACAACAAAAGTTTGTCTACATGGATGTTTTTACTTCCAGATTTAGAATTTTTTAGCTTAATTATGAAATAAAAAGCTGCATTCTGTAAAAAATCAGAATCTTTAGCAAAAGTAAAGTTTCAGAAATCTGAATCGGATCTCTAACTCACAATCGGTGCATCAACACTAGCTAGCTCGCATAATAGCGTTGTAGTTGCATAATGTTACCAAAGAAGTGGCCGTAAAAGCAATCGCACAGAAATGTTACACTTTTTATTTTTTTATTTTAGAGGGTAATTAGTTCTTGTTTTTGCATTTAAATCAATCGAAACATTGTCTGTAGACCCAAAGATGCAGACCCTTATATTCAGACTGTGTCATGGTTCTGATGAGAGGTGCTTGTGCGTGATGCCAGCCTGAATCCACTCCCTCCTCTGTCCTGTGCCAGCTCTAACCAACAGATGGCATTAAGAGGCACAGCAGGGGGTTGAACGAGGGGGCGAGTGGTATAAAGCATGACGACAGTTACAAAAAAGAGTTTTAAAATCAGGACTGCGGCAGAAAATAAGGAAAGAAACTGGAAAAGACCGGAGGGTGTTTGAGCGTCTGCTCACCCATTAAAGGGAGAATGACTCTGAATCGTTGTGTCCTTGGGCAAGACACTTAACCCACGTTGCCTGCTGGTGGTTGTCGGAGGGACCGGCGGCGCCAGTGCTCGGCAGCTTCGCCTCTGTCAGTGCGCCCCAGGGCAGCTGTGGCTACATCGTGGCTCATCCCACCAGTGTGTGAATGTGTGTGTGAATGGGTGAATGACTGATTGTGTTGTAAAGCGCCTTGGGGGGGTTCCAGGACTCTAGAAGGCGCTGTATCAAATACAGGACATTTTTACCATTTGAATCATGAAGGAATTATACTCTGAGTCACTCTGGGTTTCTTTTCCACCGAAGCATACCGCTGCTGATCTTGTTAAACTAGACTATTACAGTGAGATGACAATGCGGCTTCATCTTTTATACCAGAAATCTTTTGTATTGGATTCCACTGAAAACATTTCACAGGAAAGCCTGAAGAGATTTTGATTTTTTTTCCCTCAATGTGCAGATGCATCACAGCCCAAAGCAAAGATATGAAAAAGCAGATTTTATGAATTATAAATGCACACCATTCTTTATTAATCAGCCTCTTGAGTTGCAGACATACAAAATGTAAAAAACGTGGTGGATACTTGTTATATATCCATTTTTACGTTTGATATTCTCCTCTTGCTGAGGGGTTTACCTCGACGTTCCTTTGATTGCTTCAGCTGCCTGGTTTCTGTTTCGTCTCACCCTGTCTGACTCCATATATCAGTCACTCGTTCTTTTTCAGCTCTCCGTTTGTTCAGGTCGGGCTTTTAGTTGGGTTGGACGTCCTTGTGGCTCCCTGGGGAGCGTTCTCCTCCTCTATTGTTGCAGCATTTGCTGATAGAACTGTCTAGGTTAAAGTAAAACAGTAATCAGAAATATAAAGACAAAAAATTTAATGAAAGTTAAGAAGTTTAAATATTCTGAAAGCACTTGATGGTCATCAAAGTAGAGCGTGCTTCGTTGTGGCGAGCTGCCCTAAAATATTCAACTACACTAACTTATTCAGAAATTTCAAATGTAATCTGTGCCTTAGTTTTCTAATAATCTAAGCTCAAAATGCCAAATTTGTAAATTATGAGAAAAGAGAAAAAGCACCTTCAGAAATGTTAATGCTGCCACCAGTAGCTCATTGATCACCATTGCAATTGCACTGGTGAGACATGCACAAATAAACAAATTGATAAACATACCATTTATTATAATGTTAAGCAAAAAAAATTTCTAAGAGAAAAGCGCTAAAACATTAAGATGATTTTTTATATGTTTAATAAATTGGACAAAGGTGTGGTCATAAACTATTATAGTTATTTTAGCACATATTGTATGGCAAGATAAATGATTAATTATTGACATTTCTCTAATAGTGCAAAATGTAGCTGATTATTTATTTGTTTATTTTAATAATAATGTTGCTACATTTATTTTACCTACAAGGGTTTTGAGAGAAATCCATAAGTCTTGTAGAAATGAGATGCACTTTAGGTAAAAGAAGGCACAAATATTCCTGTTTTTATGTATTATTTGTATGTATAGTAAAATAAAAAACTATGGGAGTAAGAAGGCTTTTCTCATTCAGGCCACATTTTAAAGTATATTTAAATGTTTTTTTTCCCCGTAGCTGCAGGAAAGAAAATAGGAATAAAAGTGATGGAAATGGAAAAATATTGAGCTGGCACCTTAATTATTATCTACCAGGGTCCTTCAGTTGATCCACAGGTTATAAAAAAAAGTAACATTTACAAGAGTAGCGACAGTTTTTCACCATTTCTATGCAAAAAAAGGACTCTGGGTGGTAATTGTTCTCCACACAAACACAGGTGCAGCTCTCCTTAATACAAACCAGGTGTTTACCTCTTTTGTTCAGGCTTCTTTTCATGAAGCTGCATTATTGGCAGACGCCTCTTGTTATTCAACCGACAGGAGATCCTGACCTTCCAGTTGCTCTTTTAAAAACAGATCGATTAGGTGAATATCCAAAGTCTGCCACAGATAAAGTTAAATAGAATAAACATATAGCCTGCAGGATTTGCATGTATTATTGTGGTTCATTGCGTTGCTACATCTAAACAGTTGTGACTAATAAAGAGATTGTGCTCATGCAGCCTGACGCCTATACTAGCTGTATTCTTACATGGTCCTGGCTGATTTAAGGTGGGAAGAGGGGCTCCTGGGTCGTGTTTGGGGAGTCATAACATCAGCTTGATTTAGCAGGAACAGTTTTCAGAGCCGCAGACAGATGGAAAGCTGACTCCTCCTTAGAAAGTCCATGCCTCTGGATTGTTGCGAGGGTTAGAGGGGAGCTCTAAATCTCACTGTGGGGTGGGGATGAAGTACGAGACGGATGCACATACAGACCCCCCCCCCCCACCCCATCCCTGTCCTAAAATGTTTGATCTCCAGCAGAAGCGATGGGGTCAGCAGGGCAGGAGGGGGACAGCTGTATGGTAATGAGCTCTGATGGCTGATCCTCGTGGTGCAGGCCAGTCTGCTGGCAGGTGACGAGGAGTGAAGGAACGGCACAAGCGTGCTGCTGCTGGCTGACAGTCTCTCTCATCTGGAATTGTGTGGCATGAGTGTTTTACTCTTGGTTCCAGCAGGATTCTGAAAACATAGCTCTATAACTTATTCATCACATTCAAAATGCTGTTAGATGTCATTGTGGTGAAGATGAAGATTTTTGGCAGGCTAAACTACATGTTGGTGAGGCACATATCTATTTTTTTTTATCTCTTTCTTTAGTCTAAAATTAGTTTTTGATGACTGCTTTTACTCTGGTGCTCAATGAATTAATGCGTTTTAGGGATTTGGGGGTAAAATCGGACACAGCAGGGTAGATTACCGGTCCAAGGATCAGTGTTTTTACAGATGCCATCACTGTTCTTTAGCTACTCCAAAAATCTTTATCCTTTAAAAAGTCTTTAAACGTGGTTCTGATCATCTGTTCTCCTGACTTTCTGGAGGTCTTTCAAAGTTTTGTGCTGTAAGAGCAAATTTTGCTGTTTGTGCTTAAACACATGAGGACTGACTCCAAGAAAAAGAAAAAAACAGAGCTTATTTCTAGCAGATCATAAGTATTTCAAACTAATTATTTTAAGAAACAAGAATAAATTCTGCAAAGACCTGAAACAGGAAAATCTGCAACTTTTCTATCTTTGGTGGTTTTCATAGATTCAGCTAAAGAAACGACAAGTCTTCGTGACAGGCCGCAGTTAGCAAGTTATCTAATGATCCAATGCAACACTATCTGTTATGGATCAACCAGTTTACTTCTTGAGTTTAGATGTTTTTTTATGCCCGAATGAGTGAAGTGGCTTTGAAAACAAACAGGTATCGGAGTGACGGTGGGCCAAAGTTTAAACTCTGAAGAACTGTGGATCAAGACTTCTTTGAAAGATGAAAAATCTGTCTGAGTTGAAGGAAAAAATGAGAGAAAACTAAGGTTACAATGCTGTAGAATTGTATTCATCTTACTTGAAAGGACCTCAGAGTCCGCGTCATCCATAAATGTTCTAGTTGACGTCGTAGGGGAAAGGGGAAAGCCCAAATGGGTTTAAATGAATATAAAAAAAGTTGTTCAGACCATTTTCCCTGGAAAGGAGTCATCGCACCATCAGAAATGTCAGAGTGAGAGGATACACTGGATCTAGTCAGGTTTGGAACTCTTATCAGAGGAAAACAGCATCTGACCTGGGATCAGATTATGACCATACGTTTAATTTGATCTTTTTAGTGAAGATATGCCACTAGATCAGGATAGCTTACTTTTATAAAGTAGACGTCTCCCTCCTGCAGCATGTCCGCACACTTTTTTATGTCCCTCATCATCTAAGAAACAGACAAACCATCATTATCTAGCATGCTTTTGTTTCACGCCGCTTGGACTTTTCATTTTTATTTGTCAGATAGAATAAACATAGATGGCTGACCTATCACCACATCCACAAATTTTCATAAATGTTTTGTATAGGTGGATGGTCTCCTCTCGGGGACGACCGTCACAAAGTTTTCTGTTTGTTTAGCAACGTCGAAGAGCAGCAGGAGTGCACAATAACATCAGTGTGTAAATATGCAGCTAAATCAGCGTGTGTGTGTGTGTGTGTGTGTGTGTGTGTGTGTGTGTGTGTGTGTGTGTGTGTGTGTGTGTGTGTGTGTGTGTGTGTGTGTGTGTGTGTGTGTGTGTGTGTGTGTTCAGCTTGCCATATGTTTAGCATCGCCTTACCTCAGAAAAGTCTAACAATAGTGAAACCCAACCAGAGTTTCTGTAAGTGTGTCTTCCTGAACGAGCCGCAGACATCTGGCTTTCTAAAAGGCCTTTATTGTTAGGTGACTGATGAGAATAAAGTTTTAACCTGATAGGTGGAGTTGTGCTTGTATTTAAACAAACCCTCCTTAGAGAAGGATAGGCTGATTTAGTGGTCTTTGGGTCTTTAGGCGGACAAATGGTTTCACCTGACTAAATCGTTTCACAGTGGATTTGTTTGGTATCGTTTATAAAATTCAACGGCCTCTTTTTGAAAATTAGACTGAATGAACCAAAAGTCAAACCTGTTTATATATCTATTCATATGTTCTTGATGCAGGACTTTTCTTATGATGACCCCAAGCTGGAGTTCAATGTGGATGCTCCTAACGGTGTTGTCATGGAGGGTTATCTGTTCAAGAGAGCCAGCAATGCTTTCAAGACCTGGAACAGGTGAAGTAATATGCATAAAAGGCTGATTAAACTATAGAAGTCTCGGTATTTCTGTCAGAAAAGTGTTTCCTGGAGAATGAAAGATTTTCCTGAAGGACTTTTTAAAATAATTTCTTGTATTATCTGAAGACTTGCATCTCTGTCGTAGTAACACTGGAATGATCGTATTTTTTACACCCTCTAGGCGGTGGTTTTCAATCCAAAACAGCCAGCTGGTTTACCAAAAAAAGCTCAAGGTGAACTCTTTTTTTAATTAATACATACTCCCCTATTATGTTATTTCTAATTTTGTACCAAACGACTAACATTTTTTCTGTCAAATCACTCAGATTAGTCATGCACTGGCTGTAAGGAAAAGATCAAACCCCTACGTGCGCTTCCTGTGAATTATAAGCTGTGTAACCTACTCTTGCTAATTTGGAGTTAATCCCTGACCCTCCTTTCTGTCACTGGCAGGACTCTTTGACAGTTGTTGTTGAAGATCTGAGGCTGTGCTCAGTCAAACTGTGTGAGGATAATGAGAGGAGATTCTGCTTTGAAGTGGTTTCACCCACTAAGTAAGTGTGTGTCAGGATGTGCACAGAAATAAAAAGATTCACCCTGAAATATATTTTTTACACTTATTATTATTCTTAAATGTTTCACATCATCAAACGAATTTAAACATTAGCCAAAGACTACACAAGTAAACCCAAAATGCTGTTTATTTTCTCATTTTGAGTGAAACATAAATAAAAACGTCACCAGCAGACCACTAAGATGCATTTCATCTGGCTCCTACAGGAGCTGCATGCTGCAGGCCGAGTCTGAGAAACTTCGACAGGCTTGGATCCAGGCGGTCCAGGCAAGCATCGCTTCTGCTTATAAAGACATCAGTGACAACTATTACATTGAGGTGAAGTTTGTGAATGGATGCAGAAATGGATGTTCATTTAGTTTAATGCAAACCGAATTTGGATGTAATGAAATGTAATCCCGTCCTACAGCGTTTGGATCGGACAGCGTCTCCCTCCACCAGCAGCATCGACTCTGCCAGCGAGCCCAGGGAGAGGGGGGAGAGGGCTGACAAGGTGTTTCGGGGAGGGGGTGAGAGTCTCCTCCAGAGGGTCCAGAGCCTTCCAGGCAACGAGCTGTGCAGCGACTGCAGCCAAGCCGCTCCCTGCTGGGCCTCCATCAACCTGGGAGTGCTGCTGTGCATCGAGTGCTCCGGGATCCACAGGTAACTGCACAGAAAAATGGGTTTACCACTGGGGCTTTAATTTTATTCAAACAGACCCATGTTTACCAGGAGTTTGGTTTATCAGTTGTTCAAGTTCAAGTTTTCAAGTTCAGTGCCGTCGTCGTCGTCTTCCTCCGCTTATCCGGGTCCAGATCGCGGGGGCAGCATCTCAACTAGGGAGCTCCAGACCGTCCTCTCCCCGGCCTTCTCCACCAGCTCCTCCGGCAGGACCCCAAGGCGTTCCCGGACCAGATTGGAGATGTAACCTCTCCAACGTGTCCTGGGTCGACCCGGGGGCCTCCTGCCGGCAGGACATGCCCGAAACACCTCCCCGGGGAGGCGTCCAGGAGGCATCCTGACCAGATGCCCAAACCACCTCAACTGGCTCCTTTCGATCCGGAGGAGCAGCGGTTCTACTCCGAGTCTCTCCCGAATGTCCGAGCTCCTCACCCTATCTCTAAGGCTGAGCCCGGCCACCCTACGGAGGAATCTCATTTCGGCCGCTTGTATCCGCGATCTCGTTCTTTCGGTCACTACCCAAAGCTCATGACCATAGGTGAGGATTGGGACGTAGATCGACCGGTAAATCGAGAGCCTGGCTTTCTGGCTCAGCTCCCTCTTCACCACGACAGATCGGCTCAGCGTCCGCATCACTGCAGATGCTGAACCAATCCGCTTGTCAATCTCCCGATCCCTCCTACCCTCACTCGTGAACAAGACTCCGAGATACTTAAACTCCTCCACTTGAGGTAGGACCTCTCCCCCAACTCGGAGTTGGCAAGCCACCCTTTTCTGGTCGAGAACCATGGTCTCAGATTTGGACGTGCTGATCCTCATCCCAGCTGCTTCACACTTGGCCGCGAACCTACACAGCAAGAGCTGAAGGTCAGAGCTGGATGAAGCTAGGAGGACCACATCATCCGCAAAAAGCAGAGACGAGATTCTCCTGCCACCACACTCGACACACTCCACACCACGGCTGCATCTAGAAATTCTGTCCATAAAGGTAATGAACAGAACCGGTGACAAAGGGCAGCCCTGGCAGAGTCCAACCCTCACCGGGAACAGGTCCGACTTACTACCGGCTATGCGGACCAAACTCACGCTCCTCTGGTAAAGGGACTGAATGGCCCTTAACAGAAAGCCACCCACCCCATACTCCTGGAGCGTCCCCCACAGGGTACCCCTGGGGACACGGTCATAAGCCTTCTCCAAATCCACAAAACACATGTGGATTGGTTGGGCAAACTTCCATGCCCCCTCCATCACCCTTGTAAGGGTATAGAGCTGGTCCACAGTTCCACGGCCAGGACGAAAACCACATTGCTCCTCCTCAATCTGAGATTCAACTATCGATCGGACCCTCCTCTCCAGTACCTTGGAGTAGACTTTTCCAGGGAGGCTGAGGAGTGTGATCCCCCCATAGTTGGAAAACACCCTCAGGTCACCCTTCTTAAAGATGGGGACCACCACTCCGGTCTGCCACTCCACAGGAATTGCCCCCGATGACCACGCAATGTTGCAGAGACATGTCAACCACGACAGCCCTACACCATCCATAGCCTTGAGATACCCAGGACGAACCTCATCTGCCCCCGGGGCTCCGCTGCTGTGTAGTTGTTTGACTACCTCAGCAACTTCTGCCACCGAGATTGGACAGTCCATTCCCAGGTCTCCCGGCTCTGGTTCCTCCTCGGAATGCGCATAGGTGGGATTGAGGAGCTCCTCAAAGTATTCCGTCCACCGTCCGACTGTAGCCCCAGTTGACGTCAGCAGCTCCCCATCCCCACTGTAAACAGTGTGAGCGAGTTGCTGCCTTCCTCTCCTGAGGTGCTGGACAGTTTGCCAGAACCTCTTTGGAGCCGATCGATAGTCTTTCTCCATGGCCTCACCAAACTCCTGCCATGCCCGAGATTTTGCCTCGGCAACTGCCACTGCTGCACCCCGCTTGGCTATCCGGTACCTGTCTGCTGCCTCCGGAGATCCACAGACCAGCCACGCCCTGTAGGCCTCCTTCTTCAGTCTGACGGCTCCCCGAACCTCTGGTGTCCACCAGCGGGTACGGGGGTTGCCACCACGACTGGCACCGGCCACCTTGCGACCACAGCTAGCAACAGCCGCCTCAACAATCGCAGAGTGGAACAAGGCCCACTCTGAGTCAATGTCCCCCACTGCTCTCGGGACGCGGTCAAAGCTCTGCCAGAGGTGGGAGTTGAAGACTGTCCTAACAGGTTTATCTGCCAGGCGTTCCCAGCAGACCCTCACTATGTGTTTGGGTTTGCCAGGTCTTCCTGGTATCTTCCCCTGCCATCTGATCCAACTCACCACCAGGTGGTGATCAGTTGACAGCTCCGCTCCTCTCTTCACTCGGGTGTCCAAAGCATACGGCCGCAGGTCAGATGATACGACTACAAAGTCTATCATCGACCTGCGACCTAGGCTGCCCTGGTACCAAGTGTACCGATGGGCATCCTTTTGTTTGAACATGGTGTTCGTTATGGCCAAACTGCGGCTTGCACAGAAGTCCAATAACGAAACACTACTCGAGTTCAGATCAGGCGGGCCATTCCTCCCAATCACACCCCTCCAGGTCAAGCTGTCATTGCCCACATGAGCATTGAAGTCCCCCAGCAGGACAATGGAGTCCCCTGATGGAGCACTATCTAGCACTCGTCCCAGGGACTCCAAAAATGGTGGGTACTCTGAACTGATATTTGGCCCATAAGCACAAACAACAGTCAGGACCCGTTCCCCGACCCGAAGGCGCAGGGAAGCTACCCTCTCGTCCCCCAGGGTAAACCCCAACACACAGGTAGAGAGTCTTGGGGCTAACAAAAAGCCAACCCCAGCCCTCCGTCTCTCACCCAGAGCAACTCCAGCAAAGGAGAGTGTCCAACCCCTCTCAAGGACTTGGGTTCCAGAGCCAATGCTATGTGTCGAGGTGAGTCCGACTATATCTAGCCGGTACCGCTCAACCTCTGCCACAAGCCACTGCTCCTTCCCCGCCAGCGAGGTGACGTTCCATGTCCCAAAAGCCAGTTTTCTTGTCCGGGTATCGGACCGCCAAGGCTCCCACCTTGGTCTGCCACCCGGTCGACATTGCACCGGACCCTTCATGTTCCTCCTGCGGGTGGTGGGTCCGCAGTTGGATGAGCCCGTGTATCCGGTTCGGGCTGGGCCTGGCCGGGCCCCATGGGCGAAAGCCCGACCACCAGGAGCTTGCTCATGGGCCCCAACCCCAGGCCTGGCTCCAGGGTGGGACCCCGGTAACCCTCCGGGCTGGGTACTCCGACTCTTTGACTTTACCTCCATGAAAGACCCTGTGAATCGTTCTTTGTCTCACCCTTCACCTAAGACCAATTTTTCATGTTCAATGCTTGTTTCAATAAAATGCTATATTTTGATCTGCCAAGCGGTTGACCTGCAAAGTATTAATTTACAGTCAATTATAAAACTTTATTGAAAATTTTAAATGCAACCTGTTTTTCTTCTTGGCGTAGAAGTTAAAGGGTTAAACTGTTACGCCGATCAACCTGACCTACTTTTCACTACCTTTTGTTTTCTCATAATTCAAACTAGTTATGCCAGTTTATGGTAAAGATCCTTCCAGGCAACATTGAAATGCTATGTTTCTTGATAAATTTCCCAATCACATTCCTGTTTTTACATTTGGACCAGTTGTAGAGTTAAAACTTTATCCAAGGAAATGTCCTTCTGGCCTTACAGAGCTGTTGAAAAGCATTTACCACCATTTAAAGGTTTATTCAGTTTATGCTGTGGTGGGATTTTGTCCCACTCTTCTTTGGAGAGCTGTTTTATTTCTCACATTGGAGGGTTTTCCTCAGTAAAGTAAAAGGTCAGACATTCTCATTCAGAATTCATTGTTCCATTTCAGCAAGTCATCCCAAACCATCACAGTACCACCACTGTGCTTCACTGATGATCTTTTTCTGAAATGTAGTGTTAGTTTTGCTCCCGATGAAACAAGACACGCCCACCAAACGGTTCACTTTTAATCTCATCACTTCATAGAATAAAATTTTTTTCAGCTTTGGGAGTTGCACTTAAATTCCATTTTGCCTTGTCTTTTTTTAATTGTTGAATTCGTGTACTCTGACCTTAACCTGAACCGAGTGAGGCTTACCATGCTTTTTGTGTTCTTAAATTTCTTCAGAAAAGAGCCTGATGTGTTGCTTTTGGAGATCATCCCAAACAGGTGTCTATTAAGGTGCTTTCATAACTCTACAGTTCAGGCAGCAATCAGGTCAAGGTGTGACCAGGAAATCTGAGCTCATCTTTTCAAATAAAGGGGTTAATCATGTCACTTCTTCAATTACTGGATTTACTGCACTGCAAATATCTGCTTGTGAGACCATTCACACGTTTCTGTTTCATTTCTACTGCTCAGCGATAACATTTTGCCCTAAAGCGTTAGAGTTTGCCATCCACTTACTGAGGCCACCCTGTTATGATATTTCAGTCAAATTAAAAATAGATCATTCTAAATAAAGCTACTCTGCTGGAGTCCTGATAGCATTTGGTGTTTTCAGTAAGAAGACGATGCTGTTTTTCAGCAAAATTGGCCAGTGTGTGTACAGTGTGTTAAAAGATTTAGAAGTCTGCCATCCTGGGCATTTTAAATAAAACGTTGTGTAAAAAAATTATGTTAAAACCTTGTAGAAACGGCTTCACTAACTTTGTGTTATCGCTCTCTTTTCTTCTTGTCTCCTTCAGGAGTTTAGGCGTCCATTTCTCTAAAGTGCGCTCACTGACGTTAGACTCATGGGAGCCTGAGTTACTGAAGGTGCGTACCAATTTGCCTTTAGCTCATCCAGCTTGTGAACGGCTTCCTCTCCCAGTGGTGTTTCATTATTAATCCCACTTGTACACTGCTACTGCGCTACATTTTTAATTACATTTTAAACAGGTTCCTTTTCTTTTCGATCTCTGATCCTTGTGCCCATTTCTGCTGTTTCTTGTGTTTAGCTGATGTGTGAGTTGGGAAACACTGTGATCAACAACATTTATGAGGGAGCCTGTGAGGAACTAGGAGCTAAAAAACCTGGACCCTCCAGTTCAAGGTAAGTTTATATCCAACAGGAAGATTTGACACATAAAGTGTTAATCAGAGCCAGTTAGTTGAGAAACCGTTTGCTTGTTATTTTTTAAATATGATCTGTCACTTTCAGTTTCACATGCTGAACATTAGCATTAGGCTGAACGTGCCAGTCTTCTACCCCTATTTCCTCTATTAGCCGTAGATAGAAAATAGACGGTGAAACGCTCCGGTCAGAGAGCTACACAGGTCTACACTGTAAATTAGCTTTCATGGACTCTACCGTCTTGGCTAGAGATGGGAAATGCTAACCGTTAGCATTAGCAACTCTACAACATGGCAGAACTCTTTCAGGCAGTGGCAGATCTAGGATTTTTGGGAGTATGGGGATAAGTATCAGTCCAACATTCCTATTCATCTCATCAGTGCCACTAGCATTTGGACTTATGTACAAAAGCCACCTCCATTGATTGAATCCTGTACAGCAACGGGTGAATTTCCTACTGTCTGAACGGTCATGTTTAAAGAAAACAATGAATTACTACAGTCAGAACAAACTAAGCTCCTCAACCGACGTGCTTCCTAAGTCCACCCCAAGCCTAAATTATCCCCATCATCTCCCCTGTGTACACTGAAAGACCATCACTAAGTCTATTTTCTTGTAATGGACTTCTGGGACAATGAATGAAATGCCACACCTGCCACTCAAGTCTCTTGATGCACCTGTATAGACCCGAGCATATCTGTAGCAATGATTATCCAAACATGCCTGAACTGTATATGGATCTGAGATGTATACCTTGTGCTGTTGCTTATTCAGCAAATAAAGATCAGTAACAACAATAGGTTCTAGTGTTTGGACTTGGAATTCTATTCTCCTATAATCTGATCATCACGCAAAGGACAGATGAGTGACAGGACGGAGCATTTCAAGGGGCCAGTCAGATTTCAGCAGGGACCAATGTCCCTGTAGCCCCGCCCCTAGAACCACCAATACATTAAGGCTTGTGTCATTTGTGGAGTTAAAACATCAACGTTGCAAAGTGATCAGAGGCAGTGGAAGACACAGATTTTGCTTTATTTTAACAAATGAAGTATTTACAGCACTTCACTATTTCCACACTATTTTAACCAGACTTCTGTGCAGCCTTTAGTCCAGTCAGATTGATGTCTGCTTCTCAGGATTTAATTTTATGGTTTCCTTGAACATCTAATAACTTCAGATGAGATAACTGTAATCATGTTTCTTCAGGCAGGAAAAAGAGGCCTGGATTAAGTCCAAATACGTCGAGAAACGCTTCTTGAAAAAAATGAGTGGGGCTGAGGCCATGGTAGAGGGTGAGAGGAAGTCCCGCCCATGGACAGTGAAGAAATGCCAGCGACACAGCAGTTCTGTTCGGGCCCCCAACAAGACCCGCAGGAAATACCACCGCTACGAACCAGGCAGCGCCTCACCTGCAAACCTCTCCGCAGGTTGGTTTGGACAATCATGATTTATGAAGAGATTGCATGAACACAGCCTGAAACACAAAGTGCAATGTTTTTAAATCTTTTTTTCCATCTACAGCAGCTGCAGCAAAGTTTCGGCGAGACTCCCTGTTCTGTCCAGATGAGCTGGACTCACTGTTTTCTTACTTTGACACTGGATCTGGTCCTCGCAGTAAGTCCACAGCACAAATCCTTAGTAAAGCAAGTCTGCTGTGGGTTTGAGGGGAAATGTCGGTAAAAGCTTTCAGCTCTGTACGTTTGTAACAATTAACGTGTCCGTGGCTTGGCGATGCTTGGCCCCGCAGGTCTGAGCAGCGACAGTGGCTTGGGAGGAAGTACCGATGGCAGCACGGACATCCTGGTGTTTGGCTCGGTGGTGGACAGCGTAACGGAGGAAGGTAAAGGAGGAGTGCTGGCTTTATATAACTCATCTGTTGCTGGCTTTATATAATGGGCCATTCCCATCTGTACCGGGCTGGCCGGGTAGCGTAGGTTGTTTACATATCTGGGTGGCCTGGTATTTTTCCGGGCCAACCAAGGCTCATTCTCAGCCCTCTTCTCGAGGGGGTCTGCTTCAGGCCGACCAGGGCCAACACACCCACTGCTGACAGCAAATTCACACCTTCCATTAGAGCAAGCCTCTGATTGGTGGGTAGAATCAGCCCACATGAGCTTAAGACAAGGATGTGTGGAATCAACCGGGCCAGGCTGGGGCCGACTGGGGCTACCCGGCCCGGGACGACCCGGTACAGATGGGAATGGCCCATAACTTATCTGTTTATTAGCCTGGCTATCCATTCTAGATAGTCTGGCCACAACACGTAGAGAAAGCTCAGTATGGGGCAGAATCTACGGTTGTCTTTCAAACGGTCTCTGCATGCTATTGGGCCACGAACAGTGTGACATACTCACCGCTATGGATGTCAACTGGGCAGCCCGACATACGCTGTTGAAGATGACACAAATACAGCCTTTATATGAAGAAAGAAAGAAAGAACGAAAGAAAGAACGAAAGAACGAAAGAAAGAACGAAAGAAAGAAAGAAAGAGAAAGAAAGAAAGAAAGAAAGAAAGAAAGAAAGGAAACAATCTTTTATATAGCTCCTCTCAAAATAAAAATCACGAGGTGCTTTACAAGAACAAAAAATTTAAAAAATAAAAGAGTTCAAAGAAAGGACCTAAGTACATCTATCTGCTCTTGACAGTCCAACGTTGATGCCAAAGCCATTTCAAATGAGCTGTCGCCATCTTAGTTATTCCACTCCGTCGGATCATCCTACCAAACCGATAGAGCGCTGCGACTGGCAAGGCACAGGACTGTTTGGCCCTGCTGAGGCTCTAATGGAGCGTGGCTAGACCGACATGCAGAGCAAAATCATTTTGCTTCTGTTTTGGTCTGTCTGGAGTTCTAGGCTACCTGTTTACACCATGCTCCAGTAAAATTAATTCATTCCTAATTTTTCTAATTCCTTTTTCCAGATGAAGAGTCAGAGGAATCCTCTAGCGGTGAGGTTGAGATCGAACAGGAAGTGTCTTCGGACCCCGAGGACCCCAGAGAGTTACACCCAGGGGCGCTGCTCTACCGATCCTCCCGCCTTCATAATTTGCCTCTCATGGCAGAGGCGTTAGCCCACGGCGCTGACGTGCACTCCACCAATGAAGAAGAAGAGGGAAAAACGCCACTTATTCAGGCTGTGATTGGGGTGAGAGACAATATAAAGAAAACATTTTTATTACTGAATGACGTTGATTTAAAAAAGAAAATTATGTCTTTTATCCTTCACATTTATGCTCTAGCTGCAAAGCTAATCACACCAAACTTTGCATTTCTGTCTCTTCTTCAGGGCTCTTTGATAGCTTGTGAGTTCCTGCTGCAGAACGGTGCCGACGTGAACCAGAGGGACATGAGAGGCAGAGGCCCGCTGCACCATGCCACCTATCTGGGGCACACTGGGTAAGGAATCCAAAAGGCTACAACCAGTCTGTCTACACCTAATCATAAGTAACATGAGCCTGAACAGGACGTGCAAACAGAAGGTATTCTGGTCAAATTACTAGGCTCTGTCAGGAAAGAACTCTTTGTGCAAATGTGTAGGTGGTGTTTCGTCACATAGTTTTACTCTGCAATAAACAAGCTGAAATTACAGAGAAGTCAAAATATTTATTGCAGAAGTCATGTGATCAGTTATGTGATGAAATAGCTGGATGTTTGGGCTTTAGCTGCCAAACCAGTTTAGCAGTGCATCTTTGGGATTAAGTGGCTGAGGAGACTCATTAAGAGTCTGATTCACATCCACGTGAATCCTGCTGTTGCTGCAGAATGTGGAAAAAACCAACGTTAGTCACCGTTGACTTTGGTTTGCAGCATTCTGCTAAAAGATTTCAAAATGTGTGACAAAGGTGACAAAGATGATCAGATCAAATGAAAATGTGAAAACTAAAGCACAGAAAAACCAGTTTATCATTAGGTTCTTAAACGTTTCCATTTCTGTTATCTCTGATGTTTAAAACTCTGTTTTTTTTTTTTTTTTCATATTTTGATTTGTAGTCAGGTGTGCTTGTTCCTAAAGAGGGGAGCGTCACAGACAGAGGTGGATGAACAGGGTCACGATCCTCTCAGCATTGCAGTCCAGGCTGCCAACGCCGACATCGTTACCCTGTAAGACATCTCCATCACTCAGGAACAAACAGTACCATTGTACAGTCACACAATATTACAGCTTGTTACTCCATTTAAACACAGTAAAGAATAATGATTTGTTTGTTTAAGGTGACTGAAACATTTTACTAATTCTGTGTCAGTGCCGTTTGTCTCATGCAAAGCACTCTGACTTATCCTTTTGAGGCTTGCACCGCCGATGTAGGGAGGCAGACTGTTTCCTGTAACGCCTGGAGCCTGACAGCTAGGAAATATTAGTCATGACATACCTCTAAAGTTTTTATGACTCACCACCTTTTAATTGCGCGCGTGTGTGTGTGTGTGTGTGTGTGTGTGTGTGTGTGTGTGTGTGTGTGTGTGTGTGTGTGTGTGTGTAAAATTGACAGCGTTGTAGACATTTTTGTGACGCTAATATTGATTTGGTTTAATTCCATCGACTCCCAAACGTTAGTTGGTACAACAAATAAAGATTTATTGAAGAATTAAATACAATCAGACCTATGGGGTTTATAAGACATGTTTGCCTTGTTTTTTATTTCTTATTTTAATTATGATCTTTTAATCACAATTTTTATTTTATCTTTTTTATTTTTAGCAATAAAAATGATTTTCAATCATTATTTTTTAAATGCCATTGTGCTTGTGTGCATGTTGAAATACGCTTTATAAAAACTTTTCTTCCTTGTCTAACACAGAGTCACAAACTCCCCTTCACACTTTCCCTCTCTTTTTACATCCCATATCATAACTGGATTTCTTCTCCTCTAGGTTGCGTCTGGCACGGATGAACGAGGAGATGCGTGAGGCGGAGGGACCGTTGGGCCAGCCAGGTCAATACCCCAGCAGCAGTCCCACTGAGCAGCAATACAGGAAGTGCATTCAGGAGTTTATCTGCCTCAACATAGACGAAAGCTAGTGGTCGCCTCTGCAGCTGGGAGAATGGCTCGTCCTCTGTTTATAAACCTGATTCCCCCTTACTGGGCAGCTGCTGAAGTTGCCCCTAGACGCTGATCTTGAGTGTCGCCTCTAGATCTCGGCTTACAGGCAACTTCTGAGCAAACGGGGCGTCTTGGTGGAGGAGCGGGGTGTGAAAGTAAGGGCCGGTTTGTCAAAGACCCCTGATGGAGCTTTTTAACCCTACTGACTGTACAGTCGCCGCCTCCATTTACCCGCATCATCACCGCATCTTCTGCTTGTTCTTACCACCTGTACTCTTGCTAGCTCCACGACACACACAGTAAAATCACACCTGCTCTTTCTGGTGTTCTGCTAACAGGGTTACCTAATAACTCAACACGATGTGGTGTAACCTCCAGCATGAGCACTTTTTCTTTTAGGGTTAACGGCTCTTACCTCTGCAGATTCTTGCTGCATTAACTCTCTACTCTTCATATCTATTCAGTCCATCTGTGTGACATCCAACATACCCGTCTCTTCTGGACCACAGATGTAAATATACGTATTTAGAGGACTAGAAAAAAAAACTGTGTACTGTGGCATGAGGTGAACAAATGGTATCTGTTCCATTATTAAAAGAAAAAAAGAGTACATGCCAAGCTACATTGGAGGTGGCAGGGTAGGTTTACTGTGACAAAAGTTAAAAAAAAATAGTGAAGAGCTTGAGGGAGGAGTCCCTCGCCTGCTGTGTAAGATGTGATGGGATGAACGAGTGAGTGGGAGAGCAAATGAGCATCCAAGAGGTAAATAATAGGGTTAGTTACAAGCAACGTGAAAAAATGGGGGGGGGGGGGGGGGGGGGGGAGAAATTGTGCACTTTTCCCATTTACAGTATTATAATTATGTAAATTTGACATTGTTTTTGTCTGGATTGTGTCTTTGTGTTGTTTTATTTATCGATCCAGAGGACCAGTGCAATGAGTTCTTTGATGCAGTTCTCTTCTGCATACATGTCGTTGATTGTCATTTCAATCCCAAAGTTTATGAGTAGGAAGGGTTTAGATGGCAAACTGTTTGCAGTCATAAAAAAATAAATCACGCAATATAGCCTTATGGTAGTTTTTGATGTATTTAATTGAGCAAAATATGAAGCTGCAGTCGATGTTTGGCTGCTGAATCATTAAAGAACGTGAGCCAACAAGCCAGAGAAGGAAGCTTGCAGTTAGGGAGAACATAAAAAAGTGTCACTTAGATCATCATTTTCTATTCACTGCCACGTACTAAAGACGAGTGTCCGCTCCAGTTCCCTGTAAATGCTCATCGTTATAATCTATCTATTCGATAATGGAACGGTTTGTGTGTCTTCCTCGTCTCTATTCTCCGTGTGCTTCGCTGAGAATTGCTAAGTCCAACATTGTTTGCATTCTAAGCATGATGGAATATTTTTGGATACTTTGATCACTCTGTGCAGTGCAGTCCTGTGGAATAAGCATGTACCACCGTGACCCCCTCTGGTCTCTGGTGTCTTTTCTGCATCTCTGTGCCACTCTTCCATCCGCAGACCAAATCTGTGGTGACCTCTTTTATGATCTCTGTTGTGATGCTTTTTTTATTTATTTATTTTTTCTCATTTAGTTTCATTTGTAGTTTGATTTTCCTCTTCCAAAGACCTTTTTAAAGGGAAAGTGTAGATACAGGACAGTCTCACCTTTCTCCACGAATCAACAGCGTCGTAGAAGCACTGCTGATATACTCACACGTTCAGACCAAGTTACCGACATTTGATTTATTTTTTACCTGATTGGTCCAATTTTTCAATGTGCTGCAAAGTAGAACCAGTTTAGGAGACGTGACCCTACTGTGACCAAACTGTGAAGGGCCGGAGCCCTCGAGGAAGTAATTAAATGTCGTGTCCATTGTGTGTGTTGACTTAAGAGTGGTTAAAGGTGCCGTTGAAAAGGAAACATGCTGTAAATAGTACACTTGTATGTTTTAATTCAATGCCAACTGCCTGCCTCTCAGCATTTTGTCACAGTATCCGGTTGTGTGTTTCATGTTTGTCTTTATTGTTTTCAGGAACAACCTGTCAGACAAAATTGCAACACAACTCTTACGTACTCTCTCTGAGGCATTCTTCTGGTTACTTACAATTGAATATCATAGGAATACTTTTTCTTGTCTTTAGAAGCACTAAGGGGGGAAAAAAACAATGCAATGAATAAAACTGAATCTCCTGATAAACTAACCCTGCTTCCTCCTTCTTGCTCTTGTTTCTCATCTGCTTAACTAAATGTTCTCCCAACATTATAAAAGCTAGGGTTGTGTACTGGCAGGAATCTGGCGATGCGATATATATCACAATACACAATATGTTCTGATCCATGCTTTCGTTCTTTTTTAAACACAGAAACAGTTTTGTTTACCTGTTTGTAGCTACGGTTTCGCCGACAGCTGCCGGCTTCTTCAGGCTGACGCTGATGGTGGCGCGTCACTTCCTTCTCCGTTTATCTGCGGGCAGCAGAGGACGTTGTCGCCCTCTACTGCCCGCTCTCCCCTCTCCGACGATGCAGTCCCATGCGTGGTCCAGCGTGTAAACTCCGTCGTCCCTGTTCATGGTCCCACATCCACGTCTCCTTATCTCTATTGCTTCCTTGATCCATCTTTTGTATTTTTGTTGTTCAGTGGTTATGATCCGTGTGCTGTCCCAGTCCATTATATGGTTTTCTCTTAAGCAATGATCTGTTACGGCTGACGACGGAGTTTACACGCTGGACCACGCATGGGACTGCATCGTCGGTGAGGGGAGAGCGGGCAGTAGAGGGCGACAACGTCCTCTGCTGCCCGCAGATAAACGGAGAAGGAAGTGACGCGCCACCATCAGCGTCAGCCTGAAGAAGCCGGCAGCTGTCGGCGAAACCGTAGCTACAAACAGGTAAACAAAACTGTTTCTGTGTTTAAAAAAGAACGAAAGCATGGATTTACAAAGACACAGCAAGAACACACCTAATATGTTCTGATATTATAGCCAAATGATGTAGACATTTTTAAGAGTGAATTTAATTGGAAAACTCAGGCCAGATGCTTCCGAGACACATTCAGTGTTATTGCGAGATCTTGTTCCGTCAACATGAAGGCGATAAGAGCTGCCGCCACCTAGCAGTAGGAGGTCGACTTACACCACACAAAAGAAATCCCGTAAATGTTTGCATGTAAATTCTCAAATATAAAAAATTATACTCTTCTTTTAAAAATTGTTTCAGTAACACAAAATATTGCGATATGTTAGTGTATCGAAATTTTCTTACATGCTCAAAAAAGCAGTCACTGTAAAGTATGGTTTTAAATACTCAGTTTGCAGATGTGTTGGGAGAATGACATTAATTTAAAATCTGTATGTCTTTTGGTGGATGGTTAATGCTTCGTGGCACTTGGCTTATTCAAAGCAAAAACAAAGTATCTTTACATACTTTTAATATAGCTGAGACGTACACAGAGGTTTCTACAGACTACTGATTCACTATTACTTTAGCATCTTACGTGCATCTATTAGCTAGTTTTGAATTCTAGCCTGGACCAGCAACAAAATGCCTTGAATAATTCAGTGTTTCCGTACATTTAATGTAGTCTCACAAGTGTTTTAATGCCATCACTGAAAAGTATCATGCTCCAACAATGTCTAACTGCTCAACTGACCCTGAAGAACAGTCTCCATGTGAGTATATAAACTCTGGCTGACCTATCATTGCTTCTGTCACTACAGGGGTTGCACCAGGCAGAAGGACTGTTAAGTTCAAGGATATTCGGGATAGAGTGAGTCAAACACCACGGGCCGTCTTGGGATGAGTGCTCATTCTTTCTGCTCTGGTGCCTGGGAGGGGGAAGTGTGGTTTCTGAGGTGTCTTGGTTTAATCATTGTTTTCTGGGGATCATTTGGAACCCCTCTACTGCTTTTCTGTCGCTTTGAATGATAAGCTATCTGAAGAAGAAAGCATACCATAGGAGTGTCATCTAAATTATTCTGCTAGAAAAGCAGAATAATTTGGATGCATTTTGGAAAGTAAGCAGGTTTTCATAAGACAGGTGTGTAAAGATGACATACAGTGGGATGCAAAAGTTTGGGCGACCGTGTTAATCTTCATGATTTTCCTACATAAATCGTTGGTTGTTATGAAAAATTTCAGTTAAAAATATCTTATAGGAGACAGTCAAATTTGAGAAGTGAAAAAAGTTTATAGGATTTACAGAAAGTGTGCAATAATTGCTTAAACAAAAAGGCAGGTGCATAAATATGGGCACTGTTGTCATTTCTCTAAGACCAGACTTGCCTAGACCCTGGTTCAGGGGAAAGATACAGAAAGCTGTCTCAGAGATTTCAGCTGTCTGTTTCCACAGTTAGGAACATACTGAGGGAATGGAAGACCACGGGCACAGTTCAAGTTAAGGCTCCAAGTGGAAGAGCGAGAAACATCTCAGATAAACAGAAGAGAATAATGGTGAGAACAGTCAGAGTCAACCCACAGACCAACACCAAAGACCTACAACATCATCTTGCTGCAGATGGAGTCACTGTGCATCGTTCAACGGTTTGGTGCACTTTACACAAGGAGGTGCTGTATGTGAGAGTGATGCAGAGGAAGACTTTTCTCCTCCCACAGCACAAACAGCTGCTTGAGGTTTGCTAAAGCACATTTGGACAAGCCAGCTTCATTTTTGGAATAAGGTGCTGTGGACTGATGAAACAAAAACTTAGTTATTTGGGCATAACCAGGGACGCTATGCATGGAGGAAATGGAACACAACATTCTAAGAAAAACACCTGCTACCTACAGTAAAACATGGTGGTGACTCATCATGCTGTGGGCTGTGTGGCCAGTGCAGGGACTGGGAATCTTGTTGAAGAAGAGGGAAGTACGGATTCCACCCAATATCAGCAGATTCTGGAGACCAATGTCCAGGAATCAGTGATAAAGCTGAAGCTGCACCAGGACTGGATCTTTCAACAAGACAATGACGCTAAACACTGCTTATAATCTACTAAGGTGTTCATGCAGAGGAACAAGTAGAACATTCTGGAACAGTCATCTCAGTCCCCAGACCTGAATATTATTGAAAATCTGTGGTGTGAGTTAGAGAGCTGTTCATGTTCAGAAACCATCAAACCTGAATGAACTAGAGATGAATTGTAAAGACGAATGGTTCAGAATACCGTCAGCCAGAATCCAGACTCTCATTGGAAACTATAGGAGGCATTTAGAGGTTGTTATTTCTGCAAAAGGAGAATTGGCTAAATATTGAGTGAATTTGTTTTTTGTGGCACCCAAATTTATGCACCTGCCTAAATTAGTTCAAACAATTATTGCACATTTTCAGAAAATTCTATAAATTTAGTTTCATTTCTCAAATATAACTGTGTGTCTCCTATATGATACATTTTTCTTCAAAACAACCAACGAGTTATAAAGGAAAATCGTTAAGCCTAACAAGGCTGCCCAAACTTTTCCATCCCACTGTATTATTATTATTATTATTATTTATTTTTTTATTTTTTAAAGATACATACAAATATATATATATATACATATAAATGTCCATGCTATACTCTATGAATGTTTTACGTGTGTCCTTCCGATGAGTATCAGGGCAAATGAACACTACTCGTGCGAAGGCATATTTTGTAGGATTTTTGTACAAAACAGAAATACCACCAGTTTGTACATAATGAGAATTTTAGGCCTACTCGAAAATCAATTCATATTTTAATTTGACCCCAAACAAACTTGTTGCTAACAATTAGTTTGCTGTCAAAGTGGCAAAAGGAACAATGCAATTCATTTTAAAAGTGTCAAAGCATTGGTAAGAGAAATAAAATGAACAAGTTTCACATTGTTACTTCTTCCTTTATTTTTTTGCAACAAATTTACTCCTATATAATAAACTCAAAGGTTACTCTGTATGCGCCTTTGAAATGTTCTTGTGTTCTGCTTCTGTCAATGCTCTCCAGGGCAGCTGTGGCATTGTCAGAGTTTGAAAATAAATATCTAAAGCAAATCAAGAAGGAGTCCAATCATATTAGTTTGATCATTTGGGAAAAAAGTTAATATTTACATTAAAATCCAGATTTTTATACTCAATTGGCATGTCCTGTTGATTTTATGTTTCTTGATCAGACTAATTGTGTGTGTGTGTGTGTGTGTGTGTGTGTGTGTGTGTGTGTGTGTGTGTGTGTGTGTGTGTGTGTGTGTGTGTGTGTGTGTGTGTGTGTGTGTGTGTGTGTGTGTGTGTGTGTGTGTGTGTGTGTGTGTGTGTGTGTGTGTGTACAGGATATTTCCAAGTGAATGGTAGTGTATAATAGCTTTACTTTAGGCTACATTTCGAGGGCCTTTCTCCTTAAAAGTTATTAAAATTCTCCTCAGGACTCTCTTCCTGAATTGTGAAGTGTGGGTTATTTGAGATGGCAGTGCCTGCTGGCTTGTGGCCTCTTGTGCAGCATTTGATTGATAACTGTTGTATTCTTAAGCAGAATGAAGCCTTCAATTTCAGTATCCCTTTCACAGGTGACATCTCCTGTGGGTATGTCTTTTGCGAGTTTTCTGTCCTCGCATCTCTACGGCCCCAAAAGTTGAGACGGAGGAGCACACAGCTCAGCCACTGCAAGAAGCCATAGAGTCAGCAATCCACCAATTTGCTGCAGATTCGTCAGACATTTTGGAATCAAAATACATGTTTTTGTGCAATAAAAAAATACATTTGTGCTGCAAGAATATAGCAAAAAAATAAATAAAAAAACACCAATTAAAATGGTTTCAAAGTTGCTGAAAATTGTTGTTCTTATAACTGTTTAAAAACATTTTTTTGGGGTCTCTGTCGTGTTCTTTTGCTTGAACAAGAAGACGCAGGACAACTGTGTGCCGTTACTACGAGCTCAAACTTTCTTGAACAAAACACCCTGTCTCCCAATCCTGACATCATCAACCCCCGCCACCAAAGAACATCAGCTAAGGCAAGACAACTCAGTCCACTGAATACAACACATCTCCTGTTCTTTAAGGCCCTTTTCCCTTTATTACAAAACCCGAAACTATTCCACTACTTCCCCTTTACCACGAATTTGGAACATCAACACAAAGCTCACTTAACCATTTTTCACATTACTATAACCCAAATGAACATTTGCAGACTTATCTCTGCAGATCCAATTGGTTTGGCGTGTTAACAGTTCTTCCTGATCTGGTCCTCACAACATGACTATGTACCTGGGTTTCTGGTGAAATGCCATTGTAAAGTGGCAAGGCCTCAACAGTCTTACTTAACACTCCTCATTGTTTATAAATCAGGTTTCAGCTGCAAACAGATTATCCCTTTAAAGTCCTTTCTCTAGTTTTGAGGTTTGCTCTTATGAACTTGGACCTTGTCCTCTACTTTTTGTGGCGTTGATTTATCGCCCGCCTGGACTGAATGTGGAATTTCTAAAAGACTTTGCTGATTTCTTGGCTATGAATGTGTTGAAATATGATCAGATTTTGATTGTAGGAGATTTTAACATCCACATTTGTTGCCCTGATAAACCGATGGTTGAGGACTTTTGCACCTATTAAGTTCTCTGAATCTTTCTCAGTGGGTTCAGGGTTCTACAATTGTGAAGGGACACACTCTTGACCTAGTTATTTCCTCTGGTCTTTAGACCATTAATGTGGAAACATTGAGGCCTGTTTTCTCAGACCACTCTCCGATTTTATGTAATTTTAGTGTTCCGTCTCGGCAGGTCCCAGCTTCTCTTCCTGAGAGGCGCAGCCGTGCCATAAATCCTGCTAAGGTGGCAAGATTCAGTGAGTGCTTTAGTCTAGCAGGACAGGGCCTTCTCTTAGCCCACCTCCCTGTTGAAGAGTTTATTACTCGTTTTGATACGCTATGCACATCTGTTTTGGATGATGTTGCTCCCTTTTAGATTAGGAAAGGAGGGCATAGGGCAGAGCCGTGGATGTCTGATGAGACCCAGGCCTCCAGGCAGGCCTGTAGGAGAGCTGAGCGAAAGTGGAAGCAAGACAAACTTCATGTGTCCTATGAAATTTATAAAAAGTCACTTTTTGATCACCAGGAAGTGGAACGACAGGCTAGGATCAGATACTATGCCAACATTGTGGAATCAAATTCTCATGACCCACGCACTCTCTTTAAGGTGGTTGATTCAGTACTGGAAACTGCAACTCCTGCCTCCAGGTCCACGGCTGCGATGGCCGGGACATGTTAAGATTTTCTTCACTACTTTGTGGACAAGATCGTGATGATTCGGGCTGCTATTGTAGGCCGCACTCCTGTTTTCGTGGCACCTATGCCACTTAGGGCAAACCTGCCAGCCTTCCAGACTGTATCTATGACAGAGTTAGAGGAACTCATTTCTAAGCAAAAACCTTCTGGTTCCCCTTATGATGCTCTTCCCCCAAGGATGCTTAAGGAGGCTTTTTCTGTTCTGGCCCCTTATATACTGGTTATGTTAAATACCATTCTGGGCTCTTGTGTGGTTCCCCTTACTTTTAAGAGGGCTGTTGTACGACCACTACCACTGTAACAAAGGTCACCATCAGTAACATACTACAACGGCAGGGAATCAAATCCTGCAGTGCCAGACGTGTTCCGCTGCTGAAGCCAGTGCATGTCCAGGCCCGTCTGACGTTTGCCAGAGAGCACATGGATGATACAGCAGAGGATTGGGAGAATGTCATGTGGTCACATGAAACCAAAGTAGAACTTTTTGGTATAAACTCAACTCGTCGTGTTTGGAGGAAGAAGAATACGGAGTTGCATCCCAAGAACACCATACCTACTGTGAAGCATGGGGGTGGGAACATCATGCTTTGGGGCTGTTTTTCTGCTAAGGGGACAGGACGACTGATCCGTGTTAAGGACAGAATGAATGGGGCCATGTATCGTGAGATTCTGAGCCAAAACCTCCTTCCATCAGTGAGAGCTTTGAAGATGAAACGTGGCTGGGTCTTCCAACACGACAATGATCCCAAACACACAGCCCGGGCAACAAAGGAGTGGCTCCTTAAGAAGCATTTGAAAGTCCTGGAGTGGCCAAGCCAGTCTCCAGACCTTAACCCCATAGAAAATCTGTGGAGGGAGTTGAAAGTCCGTGTTGCTCGGCGACAGCCCCAAAACATCACTGCTCTCGAGAAGATCTGCATGGAGGAATGGGCCAAAATACCAGCTACTGTGTGTGCAAACCTGGTAAAGACCTATAGTAATCGTTCGACCTCTGTTATTGCCAACAAAGGTTATGTTACAAAATATTGAGTTGAATTTTTGTTATTGACCAAATACTTATTTTCCACCCTGATTTGCAAATAAATTCTTTAAAAATCCTGCCATGTGAATTCATGGATTTTTTTTCACATTCTGTCTCTCACAGTTGAAGTGTACCTATGATGAAAATGACTGACCTCTGTCATCATTTTAAGTGGGAGAACTTGCACAATCGGTGGCTGGCTAAATACTTTTTTGCCCCACTGTATATTTTTGCTGTAAACAAATCAAACAAATGTGTGATTTTTGTCTTTAGTTTGCACCAGAGGTTTTAGGCCTTGTGGAATATTATATATATATATATATATATATATATATATATATATATATATATATATATATATATATATATATATATATATATATATATATATATATACCTCTGGTGCAAACTAAAGACAAAAATTACACATTTGTTTGATATATATATATATATATATATATATATATATATATATATATATATATATATATATATATATATATAACAGTCAGCAACAAAACTCCATGCAGTTTCTTTAAATGCCTTTCACCTCACTAAAGATGAAACCCCATGATACAGTATATTTATAACTTTACATTAATACAACTTTTGGTGAATTGTGTCGGCTCTAACAAGTCGGCTGATGACAATGGAGAAAGAACTTCATGAGCAGTTTATCATGAGTTTATCCACGAAGAAGAAAACCGGAAGTGGAATTGATCCTCCTGATCGCGAAAGCTAAAGCTACGTTGGTGTCATCGTCTCATAGGTTTTAGGCTTGACAACACAAACAACATCCTTATTTCGTGTTTTACCACGAACACATATTCTTACGGGGGTCTCTGAAGAGGTAAGTTCACATTACAAACAGAAGGAAAATGACAGGCAGCTCGTTTGTAGCCATGTTTGTAGCAGAGCTAGTCCTGTTGACCGTTGCTAAAGTTAGTTAGCTAAACACAGTAGCATTGGCCTCTGAGATTGACGTTAGCGTACACAGTACATAGACAGCCGATGCCACAATTTAATAGATATGTAATTGTGTCTGATGATATAATGTAGTTAGAAACTGGTCTGATGTCTTCGTGGTAAATTAAATGTTTTATATGTGTCCAGTAATGCCAGAATTACTGTTAGCTTAGCTTGCTAACTATTGGATTAGCTACAGTCAGATAAGTCAGGTTAAGTAGCCTCCATAGTTAAGAAATAAAACTACATTTCATTCTCACTGCCGTCACAGTCTACGTAGAGCTCATTACTCATCAGCTGTTATCCACATGACAGAGTAGGCCAGTAAGTAGAGGCGCGCTTTCCTCATTTGAAGCTCAGCGGGCTAACAAATAAAAGTACTTCAAAAACGGTGTCACGAAGTGTTGGATTTGCTGTGTGAAGAATGTGTTTTAAATTACCCACTTTTGGATTGAATTGTTTGGAATTCTAAATGTTAATTTAAGGAATGGGTGAAGCGTTGGCCAGTAAATTAGAATCAGATTTCAATGATGAAATTAAAATTGAGAGCTTGTGGCCTATCAAGTTCGGACCACTACATGCCTGCTGTTAACGTAAACACATGAACAGGATGTCTTTAATATTCATAAAGTTTCATTTTAGGCCGCTATTTGCACAACCTACCTGGATTTCAACCAAATATGACAATAAAAAGTTCGTAATTCATATGTAGGGATTATTGTTGTGATACCATCATGTCAAACGTCACTCCAACATTAGCTCCCGTTTTTTATTAGATCCTTGTTTTATGTTTTTGGAAATTTGACAACAAACAAAAAAATATAAATACCCGGTTTTGCTATTTTTTTATATGAAGTGAGACTTTGTTTCTATTTAAAATAATCTACAGAATATCCGGTCAACAGTATTACTCAAAAATATGATAAGAGAAATTTAGTGCATTACTGCAGCACTGAAGTAGATCATGTGACACTAAATAACCATAAAAATAAAATACTATTATCTCTTCTTGTAATCCACAAACACTAGTTTTAAATCAAGTACTTTTCTCAACACTGCAGAAGTTTTCTACTTTGTCCTAAAGCTGCAGGTTACGTTTTCTGCCTATAGTATAAATAAATGCAGTATATAAAGCATGTTGATCACTGTAGGATTAGTTTAATCTGGCTCATAATTTCAGAGTTGCAATACAATCAGGAAAATAATAAAAACTATGCATTTTTGGTATTGTGGTGTTTGTCTGTGTAGAAATAGCTGTTATTATTATTGTCTTGTGTGATTTCAGATGAGCAATACCGGGAATAAGAGAGCTCCAACTACAGCCACTCAGCGACTTAAGCAGGATTACCTCAGGATAAAGAAAGACCCAGTGCCTTATATCTGTGCAGAACCTCTCCCCTCCAACATCCTAGAATGGTGAGGTTTCCATGCACACATTATTGTTGCTCGTCAAGTCTTTAAAACCTGTGAATCCCCTATGATTTCTGCAATTCAGACTGTACATAATAAATTTTCACATTAAATTTTCAAATTAAAAATACAGAATGTAGGCTTTATTTCAGTTGAATGTTTCTAAATTATTATCATCTTAGATGGTATTTTTTTAATTTCACAATGATCTTTAGAGTGAAAGAGCGGCACTAGCTTGGTGTCACATAATGAGCATTTACGTTATGTTGTGATTATTTTCATCCTAATTTTTCTTATTTTTATCTCATTTGTGTTTTATTTTGGGCACACTGTTGTTTTTCCTTAAGCATTTGGCTTTCTTCCCAAAACAGTTTTTTTTTTGCAGTTGACACATTTTGCTAGTGTTTCATTTATTAAACAATTAGAGAGGTCCATCATCATTAATTAGAAATTATGTAACCATTGGTAAATGGCCGAGTTAACTTTTTTTTACCACTTTTCTGGGCAATTTGTGACATGTGTCCAAAACAGGAAGTTGAAATTGTCTTTTGTGTGAAGGCCTCCTAAAGTTAGAGTAAATCTTAAATAAATACATGCTCTGAGTTTCTCATGCTCAGAAATAAAATTCATCTCAAAATAATTAGCAATCGAGAGCTTTTCTTTGTCTCAAAATTGGGTTGCAAATATTTTAGGGATGGTAACTGCTACTACTACTAAGTCTGGGCTGGTCCATAACCACTAATAACATTAGTGATTACCTGCAAATAGTCACCACATCGCCACATAGCTCTATTGCCCTTTTCTGCATATATTAATAATTCAATGTGATGTTTAAGGTGAGTTTTATTATTATTTAGTCTTGAAATGCTAACTTGGTTTTAATAAACATGGCCATTTGAACATTATTGTTTGGTCTTCATAATCCAGCACAACCTGATGATGAAGGCTGGACAGTAAAGTTTAATTATGATGGGAAGTTTGAACAGGTCATGTTTAAATACTACTCTAAACAAAGTTGAATAAAAGTTCTGGTGCTCTGTGTTCGGCCATGACAGACAGATGTCTCGATTGGCTAGTTTTGGGTTAACGCAGTCTGGCATTTCCAGCTCTATTGTCCGAAGCTCGAGTGTTTTAGATGCAAACTTCTCTGCATCATGGAGTCTGGTTTAATTAATCACAACCCCTCAACATAAAATAGGAAAAAGTAAATGCCCGGTGTTTTATGTGTATATTCCTAAATGTAATCTCACTTTTATTGCAATTCAGTTCCTTCAAACTCTCAATGGAACAGGTTTTGGGCACAGACTGTTCCTGATGAGTGTCTGTCCACACAACCCATTATTCCTTTCCAGAAAACATCCATGTTGCAAAACATGGAAAACATGTTTTTCTGGAAGGACAAACAATGCAGTTGACTTTTCCACAGTTTAATCTTTTGGTTTCATTATGATGATTGCTGTTGACATAATCCAGTCATCCATCAATAACCTGTTTCAGTGATTGGTGACTAAACTAGTACCGACATCAGCAGGTGGTTATTAACACATAACTGCACACACAGGTTACGTATGATGATGTTTTTCTCCCATTTAAAATCCACCTTCCTGGTTCCGGAATGGTTTTCTATTTATTTTTTTGTCAAACAAGTCATGTTTGTATTTCAGCTGAATTGTATTTGAACTCTGACCTATTTCCTGGAGCACCATTTTTAGGCTTCCAGCCAGAGAGACGGAGAAAACAATATGTGCCAGTGGAGTTTGGAATTAAATACAGAATAGAATACCCTTTTATTATCTCGCAGTGGGGGACAGCAGCGATCCCATTCACAACAAGAGCAAAGAACAAAAATCGAGAAGAATAAGGAATAAAAAAAAAACATATATGCAAGATATACTAAAAGATTCAATTGATTTTACAACATAAAATATACTATAAAATGACTTGCAGTGAGACATGGAGTAATAAAAAGGTTATAGGATGTGGCTAGTTTGCACACATAGCATTAGCTCTGGTTTTCCCCCATTGAAGACTCACGTTGTTACATTTCCAGCTTGTGGTTCCGATAAAAATTTACTCTACCACAGAAATCTTGTTGAGGTTTGTCATTGTGCCAAGATAACAATAAAGTTGCTGCTGGGAAAGAAATAAACTCCACAAACCAAATTTTTATGTTTCTGAAAGCCGTTTGAACTTTCCTCTCCAGTCGGATCCTTTTTGGGTTTCTAATACCCTCAAATTAATTTATAATCAGAACAAAGGCAACAAACCACTTAATTAAAAATGTTTCCTCTCTGTGCCCTTCAGATTGTTTAATTTATTTCCACATTTAAGTCTAATAACTGCAAAATTAACCATAGCTATAAAATGCAGTTATTCTGTACTTGTTTTTGCATTTGGAACATACTAAAATACTCATTTAGTTAATGTATTTATTCATATATTAAATGATTTTTGTTCCTGTTAACACTACTGTGGAACATTTTGAAATAAGGTATAGCTTGCACAGCTTTTTTTCTATTTTTTTACTTTAAATCAATCAATCAATCAATCAAAGCTTTATTTATAAAGCGCCTTCCGCAACCCTGTCAGGAAGCCCAAAGCGCTGAACATGGTACAGTTGTATGTAAATATATTGAATAAATCAACAATAAAAGAAATTCAAATTACAAAATACAAAATGGAAATTACAAGATAGATGAAACATTCTGGTAAAGGACAAATGTGTGAAACACATTTGGATTGAGTGGATGGATTGAGTGTACCAATGAAAACTGTGGAATGGATTCAACATAAAAGAGGGCCAAAATCAAACATGTTCTGGAAATGCCAAGCGGAGGAGGTGTGTTTTTAGGTGATTCTTAAAGACTGGCAGAGAAGGGGACAGCCTAACTGAGGGTGGCAACTGGTTCCAGAGTGACGGTGCTAGGACTGAGAAAGCCCGGTCCCCACGGGTACGACACCTAGACCGAGGGACAGCGAGCAGGCCTTGGTCAGAGGAGCGCAGAGCACGTGATGGGGAATGTTTGTTCAGGAGAGTGGCCAGATAGGGGGGACCACCACCCTGGAAGAAATGATAAACAAAGACGAGGATTTTGATTTGTGAGCGATAGCAAATCGGAAGCCAGTGCAGAGAGGCCAGAACCGGACTGATGTGGTCCCGTTTCCTGGTCCCAGTCAGGAACCTGGCAGCGCTGTTCTGCACAACCTGTAGGCGACGCAGTGTTGACTGACACAACCCTGCATAGAGAGAGTTGCAGTAGTCAAGCCGAGAAATAACATAATAATAACATAATAATTAAAGAGACAATATGTAGTTTTTACCATTAATCTTTGGAAATATCCATCAACAGGTTGTTGAAAAAAATTAAATGATGCCCAGTTGTTGAAAAATATTCGTAACATATAACCGTAAAAATCTGGTCTAAAATACAATAGAGAAGGTCTAAATCTCTGGGCGACGCCATATTAGATGCAATATTTCCTTCTACGGGAGCCCATGAGGACAAATTGCATTTACTGGTTTGTAACAAATTGTTACAAAACATTCTCCATTCATAAACGTTGTTTTACACATTTGCCTCTTCACTCACTGCTAGTGATGAAAGGGAGTCTGATGTGATTGTTATTTTGCTGGAGGTTGCACTCCCAGGGATTTATGACCCTAACCCCAAAATTCCACTATCTCCGCTCTGCCCCCGCTTTCCGCTGCCGCTCGCTTCCGAACTCAAATTATACTGTACCCGCTTTGCAACGGCTCCGCTCCGGTGCGGAGACCTGAGGTGAGCAAACAGGCATGCGGGGGATTTTCGAGATCTTGCGTTACAGTCCGAGCAATAAATGTGGGAAGTTAGATCCAAAACACCCGTTGTGTGGGAGAAGCATCGAAATGAACTGTTTAATCTGCCCATCATTTGTGTTGAGAGATCAGCAGCGTTTGGATCAACAAAGGGTGACTGCTTTGATAGTGGAAACTGTATTTATGGCTTATTTTTGTGCATGTAAACTTCAGCCGCCATTGATAGTTGTTAAAAGTTGTTAAACCTGTGCATATGAAAAGAAAAACGCTTTTTGTTATCGATTTATTGTGAAATAACGGAATTTTATTTTATTGCTTGTAGGGCTGCAACAACGAATCGATAAATTCGATGAAAATCGATTACTAAAAGCGTTGGCAACGAATTGCGTCATCGATTCGTTGTGTCGCACAACTCTTCCAAAAGCGCCCCCCCCCCCCCCCCTTCCCGCCCGCCGTTGCGCGCAGACCAGAGCAAGTCAGATCAGCGCGAGGGAGAGCCGCAGATCAGCGCGAGGGAGAGCCGCAGATCAGCGCGAGGGAGAGCCGCAGATCAGCGCGAGGGAGAGCCGCAGATCAGCGCGAGGGAGAGCCGCAGATCAGCGCAAGGGAGAGCCGGCAGATCAGCGCGAGGGAGAGCCGGCAGATCAGCGCGAGGGAGAGCCGGCAGATCAGCACGAGGGAGAGCCGGCAGACTTGCGCTGCTGCGAACCGGTTCCGCATTGTTGCACAGCGATCCAGGCAGCTGCTTCCAGCGCACGGTCCATTCTCAAAGTGGCGCAACCAAAAAACTATAATTAGCACACGATCGTTCATGTCCGCACATGTTCTCTATTTTCTGTCTTATTTGTGCCTGAAGCTCGCTACTGCGGAGCTCATCACCTGTGCTGTGGTGATGTCACCTCACGCAGCATCGAAAAAGCGCTCTCCGCTTTTCGGTCAGGAGATCCCTTTGATCTGCTCAAAAGTAACTGATGAGGTGAAAAGGTAAGAATCCAGGCAACAGATTTTCTGGAGAGTTTAGAGGAGATGCAGGAAGATGAGAGACAGACAGGACAGGAAAATAGTTCAATAAAAACAAGAAAACAAAACAAAGTGTTGAAAAGTAAAATGTAGGTAGATTTATCTCCACTACACGTTTTTACCTATAAAAAACAATAAGTTATACACATGTCATATTTACACATCTGATACAATTCAGATCACCTTCAAAACTCAGTCACACACCCAGGGCCGTTTCAAGACATTTTGGGGGCCAAGGCAAAATGCCCCCCCCCCCCAATAACTGGGCTCCCCAGAAGCCTCTGTGTAATTCATGCCCTCTCCAGTAGTGTTAGTTATATGGTGTTTATAAAAGCCCCTCAGACATTACTGACATGTTCTAATATTATCAGATGAAAAACTAAATTATCAGACATGCTGTCTCATCTGCTTCTTTTATAAACTTGGTAAAAGTAACAAAACCATTTGAAAGCCACTATTTGTGGATTCTCTGAAAGTTTCCATGGAGTGTGTGACAACTTATTTTTTCATTGATCCTATCGTCTAATCTCACAGCTGAAACAAGCATCCTTAATAATCTGTGCACAGGAAGCTTACCGATGCTGTAGTAAAACAAAAGGTATAATAATTTATTATTAATAAAACCTTGTTGCAGCACTAAAGCAGAAAAATTAGATTTTGCATTAAATATGCAAAATATTTACATATGAATTGTTTTAGAGCCCTTTAATTGGCAGAATCTGATATTAATTTAGTTCTTACAAAAAATGGGTCCCAACATGGTTTGTGTGGCGTTGCCATAGTGTGACGTCATAGGCACAGATCCCCTGTCCTCTTGTTTGGAAATGGAAATATGGTCACCCTACATTAAACAAACTGTCCACCCGGGCTTTTGCACTGCACAGAGAAGCTTCGCTGCCTACGACTGAACGTCAGTTGAGAGTCAGTCTCATGCAGAATGACCAATGAAGAGAGGGCCTCAAGTTAAGACCCTCTCCTCATTGGTCAGTCCACACGAGGTGGGTCAAAGGTTACTCTGGGCGGGTTACGTGTTGTCAGGCATTCAAGTATTGAGTATATTTACTGCATATTACAGTAAAATATTCTGTATGTGACCACATTATGGTGATCCTCGGGTCGTGATGATGGAGCCCTTGAATATTGTTGCCCAGGGTACAACAAAGTGTTAATCTGGCCCTGGTTCCGCCGTCACATTCCCACAGAAACTGGTTGATCACACCGGGGCCAGACTACTAGCGTGTGGTTTTACAACCACAATGTCCTCAGAAGCAAAAACGCTTTTAAAAGGGAGGGAGGAGTCCTAACTGTTGCTGCAGGCGTGTTGTGTGAGAGTGCAGTTATATACTGGTTAATATATTTTTGGGTTCAGTTGCTTTCATGTGGCCTAATGTGAGTCTATTTGGGATCATTGGAATGATCAGCAGCATTTCTTGATGTGACTTTATGGCAGTTGCCCAGGGCATCATCGCAAGGAGGATGGCATTCATTTACTTTTGTTTTATTTGGTATTTTTTCAGTCATTTTTGGAAATAGTGATCAATTTTGATTAATTCACAGCCTATGTTTAATTACATTTAAAATAAATATTAACAGATGAGATCAAACAAAACAGATGAGAATTGCCCTTAAGCTGTTTAACTTGGACCAAGCATTTTAGGTCACAGATAGATGTAGCTTAGGGTCTCTGTCTATACACCTTATAAGACAATTTAGGTGATGGCATGTTGTTTTTCTGGTATTGAACTGTTTTCTAATAATGTTGTGTTAAATAAAGTGAAGGAAGGAGAGAAATAACGTTTCCCTAGCAGTTTTTAAAAATTTCCCCATGTAATCCGATTAATCGATTAACCCTTTGATGCATAATGGTCACTACAGTGGACAGGTACTTAAAATAGTTATTTATTTATTTTTGCTATTAAGCACAGCTGTTGAAGACTTTATTGCATTTGAACCCCTCCATTTGTACTTCAGTAAATCAAGCCAACATATTTCATGTTCAAATTGCACACTGTCCACTGAGGTGGACATGTAATAAATTATTTGTAAATTAAATTTTACAAAAAATATGTAAATATAAAATTTGTTTCATTCACACCTAAAGATGATTGAAAAAATTGTTAAAAAAAATCATGGTTGAAGATTTCATAATTCATGCATCAAAGGGTTAATCGTGTCGAGACCCCATCCGATTAATCGATTATCCAAATAATCGTTTGTTGCAGCCCTAATTGCTTGCTCCCTTTCCTGTTGGGCGGTTGTGATTTCTGTCCATTGACTGCGGAGGTGCTCCGGCGTCCGGCAAAAATAGAATCGATCCTATTTTTGCCGGATGGTGGAACGGAGGGCGGCGCACTGCGCCGTACGGCCGCAGTAGTGGAATAGCTCTGACTACAACAGGACCGTTTTTGCTGCAGAGTTCGTGCCGGAGCGGAGCGGAGATAGTGGAATTTTGGGGTAATGGGCATCCGTTGGTAAGGTCTTACTCAAAAACAAAAATGCCTCTTGCTTGCTAACTAACATTTTAGTGTGCAGCGCCTTATTTGGTTGTAATGCCTTGTGAATGCGCTTTATAAATAAAATTGGATTGGATTGGATTGGATTGGATTGTAATGATTTAGGTATGTCCTGCCCCCTGTGAGGGAAAATACACGTCATCACTTTAATCCAAAACTTTCTTTTTATTATAAATACAGACTCAAAGAAAAATACTCCTTTTTCAAGGAAAGTGCATTACAAATTAGTGTGTTTCTAGGCAATTGGTAATAATAATAAAAAAATCCCAGTTTTTAGGATATTTGGTATGTTTTATGGTTTTATTCATTGTATATATTTTTTTTCTGTAGGCACTATGTAGTCAGAGGTCCTGAGAAGACTCCATATGAAGGTAAGTATTTCTCATTACGTTTCCCGAATTGAATGTGTTTTCTCCAACTTTGTTTAATATTTTGTATTTTTGTCTTGTCCGTTTTCAGGGGGATATTATCACGGAAAACTCATATTTCCTCGAGAATTTCCTTTTAAGCCACCAAGTATTTATATGATAACACCAAATGGGAGATTCAAGTGCAACACGAGGTGAATCCCTACCCTTTGTGTCACTGATTGAAGACTGAAGCTTTTGAAGACGCTTTCATTCAGTTCTGTTTTTCTCTGTTTGTCCACAGGTTATGTTTGTCCATCACAGACTTCCATCCGGACACGTGGAATCCTGCTTGGTCAGTCTCAACGATCCTCACGGGTCTGCTCAGCTTTATGGTGGAGAAAGGACCAACACTTGGAAGCATTGAGACATCCGACTACACGGTGAGTGGAACAGGTGAGAGGATGGCGTGTAGCAAAGTAACAACAAATCAGTGGTGTTTTTTTCTCTCTAGAAAAGACAACTTTCAGCCCAAAGCCTGGCCTTTAACCTCAAAGACAAAGTGTTCTGTGAGCTCTTTCCTGATGTTGTGGAAGTAAGTATAAAGCAAGCACCACATTTCAGGACTTAAATGTCATCTTTGTGACATTTGATTTCAAAGTCTCCCATCTCTTTACCTTCACCAGGAAATCAGGCAGAAACAGAAGGCCCAAGAGGAGTTAAGTGTCCGCTCCCAGCCCCTTCCTTTACCCGACGTGGTACCTGATGGAGACCCTCAACATGCCCACTATGGGCTCCAGGCACTCAACGGAGGGCCAGCACCCGTGGGGGGTGCTAACCCCGCCCCTGGCCTGCAGCAGGCCAATCGAAACCACGGACTTTTAGGTGGAGCTTTAGCCAATCTGTTTGTGATCGTAGGCTTTGCAGCATTTGCGTACACGGTCAAATACGTTCTGAGGAGCATAGCCCAGGAGTAAAAGGAGCAGTCCCCTTCTCCCTGGAGCAAGCCAGCTAAATGACTCCAAACTATACAAACACATTATGAGGAGGAGGAATATTCCCCCCCTGAGCTAACCCCCTCCACAACAGCGACTACCACCGTGGACTTTGGAAGACAGAAATGAACCCTCTCTGGACGGTCTAAGGTTGGATTGGAGTGGGAGGGTCAACGGGGGCTCGGAGGGGTTTATTAAAACGGTTGTGATCCACTTTGTGCTGCAGTGGTTTATATTAGTCCTGGGAACAAACTTGGCTCATGGGTTGAGATTTCTGCCTAAATCCTTCAAAACAATTCTCACCATTTAGTAGCCGTCCTGAAAACGGAGGACGGAATTTTTAACAGTCAAAGACGCGCCGCATTTATTAAATCTGATAACTATTTGCCAAAGCAGACGAAATCATAAATATCACAGCTGTCAAGACTTCATCCATATGTTTTTATTTAGAATTATTGTAGGATAATATATAAAAAATTAATTCATTAAAAGCTTTATTTAGCTTGAAATTTCATGAAAATTATCATCTGAGTCCCCTAGGTGTTGTCTGACTTCAGCGTTGGCTCTAAGCCTTTTCAGGATAGTTTAGTTTTTTTATTTTTATATGAATCCGTTCACTTCAGCTTTTCTCGTGTTTGAGGCGAAGTCTATTAAAGTAGTTTGATCCTCAAATGTGAGTAACTTCATCAGGTTGTAAAGTCTTTCTCACGGTGTCAGACCAGTGTACTTTTAAACAAAGGCTCCTGACTGACGGAGTGATTAAAGGAAGAATCTTCATAAATATACTTGTTTACATACAGATGAACAGCATGAATGCACAAATGAGACATGGAGGTCTTCCAACCCATGAGCCAAGCAGGGTCTGCACACTGGGAACCAGAGACCTTTTTTATTGGTTTAGCTGACCAGAATAGCACCAGGTCCAAAATAAGGACACACAAGAACCATTTTTATTCCTGTACATTTTTATTTTTAAATATATATTTTTTTCTTTTTTTGTTCTCTATTTATAGAAGCCTCCTGCTGGGTCTAGTGTGCTGATTAGAGTAAAACAAAACTACGACCCTGACACTCATAATTTTCTTCTTGATTTACTATTGTGCTTTGCATTTGGTAAAGATGGTTCTACAGTGTATCTAACCAGATCTGAAAGGCACTCTGTTTCTCGTCTTTTTCTGGCACACGTCTTTAAAAAAAGGCAAACTGGAGAAAAGGGGAGTGCATTTGTGTTGTGATACAGCAAATGCTCTAATTACCCTGCTTCACCTAACCTTGTGTGACGTATGTTTTCATAGTCAATGCAAATAAATACCCTGCTTTGCTAGGGCATTTAATAAAACTTTATGAAGTTGTTTCTTTGATAAATGGTATTTTATCAAGAAGAGGCTGTAAAGAAGAAAAGATTTGAGTCTTGGGAACAGTGTTGGGAGTAACGCAGTGCAAAAGTAATTAATTACTGTAATGCATTGCTTTTTGCTGTAATGTGGTAATGTAAGGCATTACAGGGAAAGAAAATGGTATTATTTACTCTGTACAATTGTCAGTAACGCGGTAATTACAATGCATTTTTAAACCCAGAATCAAGATGTGGGTTTCCTAAAAATGACGTCATTCATGGACTCAGCTTTGAGCAGAGAGGACGCAGCGGTAATGGCTCAAATACTCCAGCTGCATCCTGCATGCGGCCGCTGTTACATTCACAAAATCGCTCCACCAAAACAAAGTAATTTGTTTGCGATCGTTTATATCAGCCCATATTCTCTGGTACTTCATGTACTTTTCAGCTGAGTTCATAATCTGTGCCCCGGTGATTTCAACTCATTGCTGCTGGAGCGCAGCGCATATTAAGCTTCTTCTTTTTTTTTTTCTTGCGTTCGGTAGATCCCTTTGGCTGATTAGTTAGAAGGTAGGAAATCTAGGAAACAGTTTTTCTGGAAGACGTAGAAAACATGCAGCATGCAGGAAGGTTAGAGAACGAAAGGGCAGGAAATTATTCAAATAAAATAAAGAAAAAAGGTAGGTAGATTTATCCCCAATACACATTTTTACCAGTGAAAAGCAATAATATGTAAGCATTTAATATTTATACATGTGATAGGATTAGATCACCCCAGAAGTCAGTCCCACATCCAGGGCCGTATCAAGGCATTTGGGGACCAAGGCAAATATAGGCTTGGAGCCCCCACCACCTCACTCCCTGCTCAGTTAATATAAGATGGCGGCGTGCTGAGAGTACAGATTGTTGTTGCTTTTATTTAATAAACAATCATTTTAAAGCACTGTTATTATATCTGACTGTTTTTAACAGCAATCTTAGCTCAGACACCACATCACTTTCCACATATATGTCATGAGCTCACTGAGCGTCACATTACCAGATTCATGTTGAAGTTGTTTTGGTGAAAGTAACTTAAAGTAATGCAAAAGTAGTGGAATGCCTTACATTTTAAAATCAGTAATATTGTAATGAATTACTTTAAAATGAGGGTAACAAGTAATAAATTAAAGCTGCAAGCAGCGTCGTTCGGCCCTCGCAGCTCCGCGCCGCTCCGGTCTGCCGTCGCACCAGTGCACGTCTGACAGAACAGAAACGTCAACCACCCCGACACCAGAAACCGCGAATGGCCTCCTAGTCTGCACCTCACCCTGACTCAGCATCCCCTCTGAGCTCACCATTAAATTGAATATTAAGATTACGGCGTTACGCCAGAATTCGCCATGGCATCAAAGCCCCTCCCTTTCTGGAAAGCTATCAGATCTGAATGGTCATTACAGCATCATGAAGACAGTGCATGACCTTAGGGTCATGTTGACTAAATTAGAGGGGACAAATATGGGCATTTCAGCATAAAAAATAAATTCCTGTAGTCAGGGGGCGGGGCTTAGGTGATGTCAGCTGTCCACATTGTCATTGTTTACAGATATGGTCAATGATCACACAGACAAAGTTCGAAAAAGATCTGATCATGCACATGGGAGTTATTAAGTCAAGTAAAGTAATGGCGAAAGGTCAACGTTTGAGGCTTAGCCACGCCCACACCTTTCAACTTTTGAAAAATCCGACGGTTGAATTTTTTCCCCTATGTCTTAAGAGTGTATTGCAGAAGTTTGAAGGTGATTGGTGAAAAGGGCGACGGAGCATCACTCTCCAAACAATGTGTGCGAAAACCACTAAATCACGTACTTGCACCAAAATGGCCGACTTCCTGTGCGACTTTACGCTTGGCTCCAAGAGACTTTTTTGTAGGTCCTGAGACCCCACATTAGTGTACCAAATTTCGTAATCCTCAGTCAAAGCATGGCTTGGGGCTGAAAGTTTTAATGGCTCTAGGGGGCGCTATTTAAGAATATAGGCCACGCCCACAAACTTCAGCTGTCTATTTCTCTTGGAGCTCAGACTAGGATCACTCACCAGAAGTTTCGTAGCAATATCACGATAACTGAAGAAATGAGACAAACGTATTTCCATGGCGTGATGGCGATTTTCGCCATGGTCCCAAAGCCCCGCCTTTTTTCAAAACCTGCCAGTACTGGAGACCAAGTAACCTCAACTTGTCTACTGCTGTTTGCCACAGAATCCTGGTGATTGGGTAAAAGGAGTCCAGTAGGGAGCTGTGAAAAAAAGAGTAGCGTGGCGACAGGTCAAAGTTTGAGGCTTAGCCACGCCCACACCTTTCAACTTTTGAAAAATCCGACGGTTAAATTTTTTCCCCTATGTCTTAAGGGTATATAGCAGAAGTTTGAAGGAGATTGGTGAAAAGGGCGACGGAGCATCACTCTCCAAACAACGTGTGCGAAAACCACTAAATCGCGTACTTGATCCAAAATGGCCGACTTCCTGTGCGACTTTGAACTTGACTCCAAGAGACTTTTTTGTAGGTCCTGAGACACCACATTAGTGTACCAAATTTCGTAATCCTCAGTCAAAGCATGGCTTGGGGCTAATAGTTTAAATGGTCCTAGGGGGCGCTATTTCAAAACATAGGCCACGCCCACAAAATTCAGCTGTCTATTTCTCTTGGAGCTCAGACTAGGATCACTCACCAGAAGTTTCGTAGCAATATCACGATAACTGAAGAAATGAGAGACAAACGTATTTCCATGGCGTGATGGCGATTTTCGCCATGGTCCCAAAGCCCCGCCTTTTTTCAAAACCTGCCAGTACTGGAGACCAAGTAACCTCAACTTGTCTACTGCTGTTTGCCACAGAATCCTGGTGATTGGGTAAAAGGAGTCCAGTAGGGAGCTGTGAAAAAAAGAGTAGCGTGGCGACAGGTCAAAGTTTGAGGCTTAGCCACGCCCACACCTTTCAACTTTTGAAAAATCCGACGGTTGAATTTTTTCCCCTATGTCTTAAGGGTATATAGCAGAAGTTTGAAGGAGATTGGTGAAAAGGGCGACGGAGCATCACTCTCCAAACAACGTGTGCGAAAACCACTAAATCGCGTACTTGATCCAAAATGGCCGACTTCCTGTGCGACTTTGAACTTGACTCCAAGAGACTTTTTTGTAGGTCCTGAGACACCACATTAGTGTACCAAATTTCGTAATCCTCAGTCAAAGCATGGCTTGGGGCTAATAGTTTTAATGGTCCTAGGGGGCGCTATTTCAGAAAATAGGCCACGCCCACCAGATGTTCACATCAGATCTTTTGGGGGGCCGGACTAGGATCACTCACAAGAAGTTTCGTGACGATATCTTTGGAAATGACGAAATGGGAGGCAAACGTAAGGCCAAGGCGGTACGCCTGAATTCGCCGCGCCACCACAGCCCCGCCCTCTGCCGAAAACTCCCATAAAGTGACGCCAAGCAACCCCCACTTGTCTTGAGTTACCAGCTACAAATTTGTGGTGATTAAGTGAAATGGGGCAATTTGGGACCTTTCACAGTAAAACTTGATCTTTTTGGTCCTGAGGGGGCGGGGCTTGTGTGATGTCATCATCCGACCTTTCAATTTACTTTGTGGGTGGATGACGAATGACCACAGAAAGTTTGGTAACTCTATTCCATTCAGTTATGAAGTTATAGCAATTTAAATATTTTTGGCGAGTAGTCAAACTTCGAGGCCTGGCTCCGCCCCTTCAACATATACGAAAACTCAGAATCCTTATCTCATTTTGTTCGCCCATCCCTTCTGAGCAATTTTACACAATTTTTGAGACGATCGTGCGAAAAATGATCGAGCAATCCAATCAGAAACGGACCCTAAAAACGGCAAAAACGGCAAAAAATCGCCATTTCAACCCAAAATGGCCGACTTCCTGTTTGATATTGACCATGGTTGCAAGAGACTTTTCTGTGCGGACTGTTGAGTACTACAAGTGTACCAAATTTCATAACTGTACGATAAACTAAGCTTTATGGAGAGGGGTTTTTTTCACTTTGTAGGGGGCGCTGTTCAGCCATTTTCTTTGCGATTTTTTTGGGACCTTTAAAATATCAAATTTTTCACCAGGCCTGACAAGTGTGCAAAATATTGTGAGTTTTGGGGTATGTTAAGGTCCCCAAAAAGCTGTTCAAAGGGGGCACGGAATAACAAAAAATAATTAAAGCTGCAAGCAGCGTCGTTCGGCCCTCGCAGCTCCGCGCCGCTCCGGCCTGGCCGGCAGCCAGGGGCACCAGGGCACGTCCCCGGAACAGAAACGTCGACCACCCCGACACATGAAACCGCTAACGGTCACCTCGTCTGCATCTCACCCTGACTCAGCATCCCCTCTGAGCCCACCGTTATATTACACGTCTCACCACTAGGGCATACCCCATCTTTGCCACACCGGTGGTGTGATGACAGTGACCAACTTTAATGCTATTTTGACCACGTTTTTTAAAGTTACCGAAGGTTAAAGTTAACTAGGCGGCGCTGTGACCAACTACAGAAAAGTGTTATTGAGGTCAGCTTTGGTGACATTATATAACATTCACCAACCATTTGTGCCTCACTGGCTAAAGGGCATGATTGTTCATTGCCATGTTCAGTCTCGGGCAAATTGGAGGCTGTTTGTGGAAGTTACAGTCAAACGTAAGGTCATGGCATCATGGCAGCATTCGCCATTGCATCAAAGCCCCTCCCTTTCTGGAAATCTTTCAAGTCTGAATGGTAATTACAACATCATGAAGACAGTGTATGACCTTAGTGTCATGTTCACTAAATTAGAGGGGACAAATATGGGCATTTCACCATAAAACAATAGACTTCCTGTTGTCAGGGGGCGGGGCTTAGGTGATGTCAGCTGTCCACAATGACGTTGCCTTGAGATGTGGTCAGTGATCACACAGACAAAGTTTGATATAGATCTGACTGTGCACATGGGAGTTATTAAGTCAAGTAATGTAATGGCGAAAGGTCAATGTT